TTCTTCTTGGAACAACACAATTGCGTTAAATGTCGAACGAAGGACTTACTGGACGATAACGAGTATTAACTGAGCGTTCCATTAACTAATGTACATATGAAAGCAAAACCGACAACTTTTATTTTCACAGAACGTAAGCTCTCGGAACTACATCTTGAGAGTACAACTACTCAAACTAGATCTTTTAAATTCCCCCTTGTTTCCGTTAATTGCGGCATGGCAACGAAAAGAGAACGCTTCTAATCTCCAATTTAAATGCTAACAGACCTAACCTAACAGGGCGCTTCTTTTCGTTAAGGATGATGAATGGATCCGGAGCTTAAGGAAGTGAATCTTGATCATAAATACATAATGAATGTTAACTACGGCATAATTCGACACTAAAGGTTTTTACCGTTTTACAACGATCTCCGTCTAGCGACGATTAACAATGTCGCCACGTACCTACCCGGGGATGATGCAGTGAGACCTTCCCAAGGAAGTACGTCTCTACAAGTCTATGGTTCTTTTTCGAATTGGGAGTGTTTCGTGTTCATCGAGGCGCCACGGAAATCGAATCAGACAATAATTCTTGAGTCATTTGATTCTCGCTGCTGCTCACCTGTTTGTGAGTCTGTATGTTGGCAGGGGGTTGTAATATTTAAGGTGATACTGTGGAGCGCACGTGAAAACCTAACTAAGGAGAAACAGTCAAGTGTGGTAGATGTCGCTCGTGATTAATGCTTCTAAAGAAGTTCATAAAGTTAATGGAGCTCGTTAACGATGTATAATTAGAAGCGAGCTTGCTTTTGGGAGGAAAAACTACAATCAAAACAACTGTGAGCTCGAAAAATCAGAGGAAGTCGAAACTTCATATCGGTATTCAGAGAACTGCTAGATTATTGGAGAAAAAAGATAACAAAAAGTGACGTCTCAAGACGCAAATAATACCACCAACGTCGTTACTATAGTCGTAACGGCAAAAACTATGGACTAAACAGGATAAAGTTAGGGCAAAACTTGAAAACTTGAGGCGAACTTGTCTAAATTGTTGGCAGGAGTGGTTTAGTTCTTCTCTTTCTATTCTTAACTTGGCTTATCCATCACGTTATATTTTAGGAAACCCAAAGTACACACCGGTGCCTTTATATCCATCATCCGGCAACTAACTTGTTCGAACCAAGTTTCTTATTGGATCCATATTAAATTTAAGGTTATCCGTTGATGCTTTTAATGCTCCTTTACGATTGTATAACGTATACGTTTTCAGCGACTCAGTGCTTTTTATTTACGCAATGATAGAAGCACGCAAAGGTTATGTATTTATTGCCTTTCTTAGTGGTGATCGAACGAGAATAAATATTTGTCCTCGAGGACAACGCCGACATTTTTCGTCATCCGCAGATGGCGCTGATAATTCCAATTAAAACTTTTTTCTGTTCACTTAAATATCGCCGAAGGACCGTGAAGTTCGGATTAATTAACTTTCCAACCGAAACGATTGCCAATTACTGGAAAGATACTGAGAATAAAACGTCACTCTTCAAATTTCATTAATTATTCACTAGACAATGTCAACAGCGCCATCCGGGGCAAAAATTGACGATCAAAAAAAGAGAAAACAATAAATTAAGGATCGTGTTTACTACCACAGGAAACACACAATTACCTCCTTCTCTGCCAAACTTCCTCTTCTTTTTCGAACTGGAACTTTGCTTCTGGCCAGAGGATTTCTCGCACTTTTCTTTGTCCTTGTCTTTATTCTTCCACCGTATCAACATATTCGCACTATTTGCAGTTTACCGTCTTTCAATTAAACTCACTCATCGTGAAATTAACCAACAGCGTCTCAAACTTGACATAGGGTTGTTACTTAAAAAAAAAAAAAACACACTGGACGTTTTGCTTAATTAGCGTTCGAGCTAGAATAAAGCATAATGGCATCTTAATAGCTAAAGTCTGGTCGATTTTTCTTAATTAAAGTCTGCGAAGAAATTTCTTAAATACACTTACTTCCCTTCGCGAGTGAAAGAGGCGAAGATAATGGAGACCAAGAAAAAACCGATACGCTTTTAAATTAATTCAGGTGGTGTGAGTGAGAGATAATCAGGACGTAATGTTTCTGGGCAAATAAATCTCTATAAACTCGTGTGGTCGGAATTGAATAGTTAATAATAAAAACTAGGACCTCGTACGTCACTGTCAACGTAATTGTTTGTCATTAAAAGTTAAATTGGTGAAAAGGGGTCGCATTTTCGCCCGAAAATGTGGAGGGTTGGAGTTTGGACGTCATTAGGAAAGACGTCAAGCGTTAATTTGGAACAGACTTCAAAAATAACGCGGTTATTGGCGGAAATGAGGGAGGCAAACATGAGGTCTTTCACAGTCGGCACCAGTGCAAATGTGAAATATTTGCATTCGTGCCCTGCCATTTTCGCGCCAAAAACAACATATTTTCTAAAGCAAGACTAAAACACGGTAAGAAAATGTTTGAATGACCAATTTAAAATGCGCAAAACACGAGACGTTCAGTCTTTAAGCACGAGATTCTAGACTTCAACTTTTCATGTGGGCAGAGAAGTGTTTACGTTTGTCACAAATTTCTTCAATACCAAAATGAAGACAAGTTTTTCGCGCGATGTTTTTATTTTTTATTAATCATGTTACGGATTACTCCAATTTACACAGATAAACTAAATAAATGTACAAAAGACTGAAACATATAAGTACTCATGTTCCTAATGTATCTGAAAAGTATAACTTTAGAGGTACAAGTACTTTTGTGCGAAGAGTAACTCTTGGTTGAATAAATCGCGAGTACTTCATGAACGTCTTTAAAAAGGTTCCTTTTAAAATTACCAAAAAGCTAAAGCTCTTAGGTATCTGACGACTCACTATAACGAATGAGTACCTCGGCAGAAAATTTTTACAAAATAGAACCAAGAGCGTACACGATAATCGTTTCGAAAAAAGAATTTCAAAAAAGTTTCAACTGTCATTGCAAAATATGGTCCAGAGTCGGTACCTCCGTCAAAGTTTGACCACAAAAGACCTCATTTTAATGACTTTTTACGGACAGCCATGTACCATGCGGCCGTTGCTATAAAGTGACGAATCATTTTTCTGGTGCCGCCCGAAACTGCATTTAACCCCTTGCGTCTACAACGTAAGGGCACGTGTCCCTGACAGAATCAATAGGAGCCACATGTAGGCGTTCGGGCCTGCAAATTCGAAAACATCCCATTAAGAAAAAGGCAAAAAAAAAGCTGCGTATCCCTTGTGGGAAGCCTGCTTGGTCGTCCTGAAGTAGTGTGCGTATGTGTGATACTTACGCGATTCGATCGCCTCAAGTGTCGGTTAATATTAATGATCAGAGCACAAGTGTTATGATTATTAATGATACATGATAAATAGTTAGCATAGGTTTCGAAAACACGGATTATTAGCACAGTTAGGTTCATTAATTATTAGGTCGGTTCGTAGGCCGTACGGTAGTCCGTTGTAAGTCACAGTAGGCCGAGAGCGAGAACAGACACCGATGCAGCCACCTACTAGATTACAGCATCCGAATGACGTAACTGCAAGGATAATCGATAGAAGCGCTGCTGTCAGCTAGCGGCATCATCTGGAACTTTCGGGGTGAACGCCCTACCATCACGCCCTTTGCCCGGGATAAAGCAGGACGCGTTTTCGAGAATCTCTGAGGAGCGAGCAACACCCAGATGCACCCACACACGCCCAACGAGCCTTGGGTTAACGCTGGACCGCTTCTTTTGGGTGGTGCCGAATGAAAATTGAGAACGTTCCGCGACGCACCTGCTGTACATAAAAACCGCACGTTACGTGCAAAGAAGAGGACCAAGGACGACGACAGAACTTTAATGGGATGGGAAATTGTGAGCAAGAACATGAAAATGAGACTTTTACGCTGAAATATTGTTTTAATTCCTTCTTTGGCTTTATCACGCTCGCGGAACGGCCTCTATATCGGATAATGTGATCATAGAGGGTATTTTATGGTTCCTACTTTATTCATTAATCGCTCCTCTTGAACGATGGAACAGGGAGAGAGGCTCGAAAAATTCAATGAGAAGTTGTCAAAATAAAGGTCGCGATATGGTAATTTGCGTAATTTTATCTTTATTTCTCCTTACGTTTTTCTTTAATATGAAAACGTTCTAGGTCCTGTCGTGCTGAACATGGCTGAACCAAAGCGAAAGGATTCGCACTATGGTTGCGCGTATAGTTGGTTGCATAAACGTTAATACTATAACACAGTATACGTATCATTGATTTCCATACTGTGACTATAACGTCAATTTTGTACGATATTGCCACTAACTATTTTTGCTTTCATTCTTACTTACACGCAGGCACGCCCTTACTCAAGCCCCATCTTTAACAAACACTGATAACGTTATCGATACATCAGTTAGTCAACAGTCCCCATTTTTTTACTATTGCAGTTAAGCTAAATTTACTTATTCTAAAGATCAAAAAAAAAGTCAGCCGATTAATTAGATAACGACATATAATGTGTACTGAAAATAATAACAAAATAACTAGATTTAAAACCGATGGGGAGACAAAAAACCGTAAACGTCTATTGTATCCGCACAAATAGCATGAATCACCGAATTATTTACACTTACATAAGAGATATAGATATAGTACACCAATCTGCGCCAAAATCGAGAATTGAAAGAAGCTATTCCAGGTGACAAAAAAAAAAATGAGAAAATAAAGTAAATAAAAATTTATTTACACATTTATCGTTTAAGTACTTACAATACATAAAAACTCTTAAGTAGAACATAGTATCATATACTTGAAAAAAGTCCTATAGACATCAAAACATAAATATATCCTACAAAAATAGCAGCTTCAATTCAAGATTTTTCAGTCCAAGGAAGAAAATTCAACTATTGCACATTTCACAAATGGCACGGCATGGTCAAATGATACCAAGCGACTTGATCAAAAAATATTCTTCCTTGAACATTCTGCAACCCTTTACTTACCGAAAAAGGCACGTTTTTTCGTTTTGCTTTGCATAATCCTCTGAATTTCGCTTACGTCCGAGCCGCTTTCCGTATCCGATATTTGGTTGTTTCGCGTCTGCCGCGGCGGGGGCGGCAACGGTCGATTTTCGTAATTCGTGTCGTAAAAATATCGAGTGTTGTTACGTCTACCGACGTCGTTGGCACTCGACGTTAAGCGCGAACCGCGCACGAAATTGTCGCGTTGCCGAGGTGGCGGTACCGATGCGTTCTGTAGCTGACCCATAACGACACCAGTCTTGGGCGAGTCGTGGATTTGCCCATAAATATCGCAGTATTTATTTCTGACGGTGACCTGTTTTTGACCGTAGTTTGTGTCTGTTATGCTCTGGCGGGAAGAGTAGACGGGGTTGCGTTGGAGAGACAACTGGGAGTTGCTGAGGTACGTTACGACGTTGCCGTGGTCGTAATCGTCGAATTGGGGAACATTGGAGACGGGTCTGCGTACCGTCTGAGGTCGTAGACCGTAGATGTCTTGATGACGCGGTATCGAATCCATGGAGAGGCGTCGAACGCCCATCTGCGGAGGCGCCTGTCCGTAGAGCGGCTGCTGACGCGTCTCATCGTACTTCTGTGCCCTAAACTGCTCGAGAACTCTGTTACTGTAAAGAGGTTCCCTTTGGACATTATATTTACTATATCCATAAAGTGGTTCCGGCTGGACGAACACCTCATCGTCCAGGTCTGACTCGACTCTCTCTAGTCGCCTTTGGGGGGGATTTTGAGTGTAACCGTTTCTGGTAGGCCACGCCTGCTGAGCTGATTGTGAGTTTGAAAAACTCACTCTCTTGTTGTACGGATTTCCGTCGTAAATCACTTCTTGCTTCGTCAGACTTCCACGTCTAAATATGGGCCTCTGTAGACTATCGACCGATCTTCGTTCAGGATTATTCCTGATGAAGTTCTGGTCATAGACGAAATGCCTGACTCCATCCGTCGTCGTCAAAGCTTGATCTTCAGGAATCGATTGTTGTGGCGGTAACCGCCCATATTCCACATAATTCTGACCTCTGGTATCTCTTGGTAAACTCAAACTTCGCCTGCCAACCCTATGCGAGGACGGCGACAAACTTCTCGAACGTCTTAACTTTGCTTGGTCTTCGTAATAGCCGTTCATTTGTAACTGGTGTAACCTAGAATCTTCCTCTTCTTTTAATTTCTTCAGCTGTTTCCAATAGTACTCTTCGACGCTCTTTCTCACATCTTCTTTCTTCGGCGACATCTTCATGGACACCGACATTCGTAAATCCACAGGAGTGGACGCCCTAGGATTCGGTAGGACGTTGACGTAAGTCCTATTATCCAAAGGAGTTTGAGAGCGCTGCGGGACATGCACCAGTGCGTTAGTAACGATTCTATCAACTTGAACTTCTTGATTCTTCGGCACTTTGGGCGACACCGGAGGTTTGATCGTTACTACTTCGTCACTGGCTTTCGACACAGTACGCTTCGGTGGTGTCGGTGATCTCACATTCTTTAATAGCTCCGTAGCTATTATCTTCTCGGTGCTCACTTTGTTAGCAGGAATTGGCGACTTCACTCTCGGTTGAGGTTCGTAAATCTCGCGGTTCGGCGGCAGTTTTAACTTAGTACTTTCTAGCGAGAGCGATTTCGGAGGACTTAATGGGGGTCTTGAGTTCACTGGTTTTGTGTCAGCACTACGAGATATGCTATCGAAAACTGTACCTTGCGTTTCTTCTTGTCTCGTAGCGAAACTGACTTTGTCTGGATAATCTTTTCCATCGCTTTTGTTCAAATTCCTTTCGATCGTTCTAGGACTCCCTTTCTCGCTTTCGTGCGGATTTGGGGGTGGCCGTTCGGAGTTGATAGATATCGCCGCCTTTGGCTTAACCACGCTAATATTTTGGTAAGTTTCTTGAGCCCTCGGTGGAGTATCGCGAGCCGTAACGTCGTTCGGCTTTTCTGATTCTGCGCTGGTCGAAGAACTGGTATCAATGTACTTAACGGGAGTACTGATGTAGTCTGTTATCGTTGGTTTCGTCTTGCTATTATCCATAATTACGTAATTATCGTTTCTTTCGTCGTTAAAACTCTGACGAATCGAATTGAAATGGTTTACGTGTAAATGGGCGTACTCCTGCTCCAGCTCTCTGATCCTCTGTTCGTGATATTCTTGCATCCTTTGTTCCCTAATATTGTGAGGCCTCTGCGAATACAGATCTTCAATAGTCCTCTGACTAGGCGCCGTCTGTCGTGACGGCGATCGCCGATTGAAACTCGTCTCATTCTTTATATTATCATTGTAAACGATGTTATCGCCCGATTTTTGCTTATTCTTTTCTTCCTCTTTCTTTTTCTTATCTTTCCCAAACAACCCACCCAAAAATAACTTCCTGAAGCTGCCGACGCGTTTTCTGTCCTTCGGTTTACCGTCCATCGTAAAACTGGACAACTCTTTGGCTATTTTGTCGACACTCTCTTCAGATGCGGACGGTTGCAGGACGATGTTAACTTCCTCTACATCACTCGCCTGTGACTGTCGATTCACCACGTTCGAATTTTCATCTTTGGACGACCTTTTTCTAATAACAGGTTTGGGTTTAATAAGAGGTGGTACCAACTTGGCAGTCTTAGGGTAACCAAAACTTGCCGGCGTAAAAACTTCTTGCTTAGTATCTTCGGGAGGCGGAGATTCCACCTTGGATTCTTCTTTTTTGGGCTCGATAGGAACTTGGGTGTTTTTGTCGTCGCTTTGGTTCTGCTCTTTAGAGCTCTGCCGGGCTAAACTTTCGAAACGCCCTTTCAAATTGTCGACACTGTGCCGTTTACTTCCAGAACTAAACGAGCGATGCAGTTTGGCGTACGCGGGTCGATTGATAAAACTTCTCCTATTGTTCGAATCTCTGATCACTAAGTTTTCATTGTCTCCCCTATATATTTTGTGTATCGTTGTCACTGTCGTACTCTCCTTGATGTCGACGTGTTCACCGTCTTGATCTACGGGGTTGGCCGACGAGGTCATTTCGAATTATCGATTGGCTTGGCGATAGAAACTCCTGAAAATGAAAACAGAATTAGTGCATGAAGCAATAAAGGTGTTGTTTTTATTACAAGGTTTGCCGTTTTCGATGAATCGCGATAAAAAATGTTAGTCAAACGCAATATAGCAACAGTTTGCTATTTGCTTTAGTTATCTTATCAACTGTTATCTTTATCAACAAAAATGGGAGACGAAGATATATGAGGCGAGGCCTAATTTAAAAAAAAAATCGATTAATTTTTTGTTTTTATCGAATGAATATTAGATGCAATCATTAAAAACTGCCGTCTAGTTGGCACCGACCAAAGAACCTGTATGTCTGTCGTTTGCTACGCAGAATGAGGGATGAGAAAGGGGGGTGATCATCCAGCGTCAACTGAGAGACAAGTTTTTGTAGGTCCCACCTTACGTTAGAATATTAGCCGATGCGATAATGTAAACATTAAACATTATTTTTGTAAAACTGTCACGTTGCGTTGGATCCAAGTTCAGAAGTGTCACTCTTATCGCAGATTGAGAAAAAAAAAATGATTACGCAACAATTCTCATTTATAACAGTTAAATTTGAATAAAAAATGTACCTTTTATGACAAGAACGTTAGATTCGATTATTCTTCATAAACTGTACGTCGAACGAAATAAAAAATATATAGATCCAACCATATGAAAGATAATCGGAGAGAAAGCTCCCAAACGTACAAAATATTCGACAAGTACGCTAAATTACCAACCAAAATCCGAATTAGTCAGCTCCATCGAATAAATCACAAATCCGTGCACACTTATCCCGCAATTGCAGATTTTTCTCCGCACCACAACTCTGGCATACACCACATTCTGCACACACATGCAGTTATTAGAAGAATTTCATGTTGACTGAAGACTCGAGAGCAAATCGTCGTGAGTCACGCATACCTTTACAAACTGCAGCAGCTGCTCGAGGCACTAAGACGTGAAGAGTTGAAAAATCTTCAAAACACTAGGTGAAACACATCGTACGACTGTTTGCATCCGACTAGTGATAAGCACCTGGCCGTTTTGTAATCGAACTCTTATCAGACTCTCCCGGCCTACACGTATTTGAAGTTGCAGTGCATTGCAGACAGACAGAGAAGAAGTGACGCCTCAGGAGGTTGCAGTTTATTGGATCTTATTAGCCGTCATCGACTTCCTTGTCGATTAACATCTCCCGCGATGACCCCGCGCGGATTTTTCCGGGTCGAGCTCGGATTTTACGATTCGATTAAATGAGGGGTTTATTTTTGAAACAATAGATGCTGAATTAAAGAACGGATAAACACAGACATATGGCGAGGCTTTTTCGAACACGTGCCTTAAACTCCGAGGAAAATAAAAAGTTTGTTTTTTTATTACAGTTTATACGTACGGTTATTAATAGTTGTTTACGGGTAAATCTCTCATTAGGCGGATTTTCCCATGTCAATCACCTAAAACCACTCGAATTTAATTGAGGCCCCTTTTAAATTCGCGGTTGTTACCAGCACGTCAGCGTTGAGGTCAGTACAATTAAATTATTAAATAATTACCCACTGATAAAAGTATCGTTAAATGTTATCATAATGTCGTTTTGCAACGGTCTCGGCTTAAGTCGTGTGAAACTCGTTGTGTGGTTTATACCTACTTGCGTTTTTTTTTTATTGTGTCAAGCATAAATCAGATGAAAGGCAGGCACTGTTTCAGCGGTAATGTTAAATGTAAATAGACTATTGGTTTGCCATTTATGGAGCTTTTCGGAATGATTGCACACTCTTCAAGTTGTTTACTTTTGATTTACAGCGCTTGTAAAGAAGTTATACGGCGGAAATCTTACTGACAGACACACTTCGCAACATCTATTCATAATAGTTATAACTCGTGGAAATTTCATATCCTTCTCGGACCACATTCGAACAAAATTATTTTTCAACAGTTTTGAGAAAAGTATAGCAATAACAATAATGTTTACGCTTTCCACAAACGAAAAGAACTTACAGTTTTTAACGTTATAAAAAATAAATCACTTGCAAAAGACTGTTTAAATGCAAAAAAAAATTTATCACGCGCTCTTTGACTCACTCAGTATTTATTTACTTGTTCCAAGTAAAACCACCCATTCAGTAAGTTGTTTCCTAAACATACGACTTAATTTTTTCATTTTGTTTTAGTATACTAAATAGTATTGCTTAACCACCGTCGGTAATGCTGGTTGCATAAACACTCCAAAGTTGTGTAAAATTTTCCAATAACATTTTTCATAATAAATATAAAAAATATATATGAAAGACGTTCGATCGACACGGAGCAACTGCTGCGAAAAATTAATTTACTTTCCACACCAATAAATTCCGAACGTTAAAGGCAGAAAGAAAATTAATTTGTATGGCGGCGATTCGAGCCGAACGCGCTGCATTTTTTTGCTTATTTATTATTTTTACGAAAAAATTAATTTCCAAGTAAAGTACCACGCCACAAAGTAAAATTTGTCACACGTCAGTCAGCAAGCTAATAGCCAACATTTTTTCTTTATTTACTAATTCAAATAAAGGCTGGAGGAAACATAAACTAGTTTTACTGGTGTTAACTAACTGCACTTATTAAGTAAACCATGAAAGGCAGGAATAATTGTGGAACTCAATGACCGTGGGCTCTTTTTGAGTTAATATGTTGCTGCTATTCTTCAGTAAGTAAGCTTCGAGATGTTGAAAGCAAAAAGGTGCACGGAAATAGAACGCGTTATATAGCGTTTTTTATGCGATGCAATTTTATATTTTTTGTTTGAATGTATGCCTATGAGATGCGTGATTTTCATAAAAAAAAAACTCCCATTTGAAACGTCAAATATGTGTTAAACATTATTTGTATTAAAAAAACTGCAATATGTCTGCTTGAAAACGGTAAGTTTTAAAGAACCGCCTGTTCGCCATTGCCACAAACACGATGAAAGTAAATTTGGATATTTTTCAATTCTTCGTTCGGCATCCAAAAAATATGCTGTTGATTGATTCTTCGAATTTATTAATCGGGTAGGCTATGCTTGCTCTGCATTAATTAAGTCGACCCTTTCCGTCGACGTTTAAATCAAACTGACCCCGTTCTATTATTCCCCGCACGTAGTATCTAGGGGCGTACTCAGGGTTCATTGTCGTGCAAGTACACACAAGCAAAGCAAGTTCATTGAAGATACGAATAGGTGCTGTTGCCCGCTGCAGCCGTGGAGGTGGATTTATTCTCTCTCGTTTTCTTCTTGTTTCGTCTGTCAGATCACGACTTTGCAATCAAGACTTTCGCGAATTTAGCCTCAAAAACTTTGAATAACGAACTCTCCTAAACACGCAACGATCCCGTTACGCGGACGCATCTTTTCCGTTTTAATATGTCACAGGAAATCCTCCAAATGGTGACGTCTTTCATTTTTTCTAATGCAGCATCTGGTCGGAGAGCAAACGACGGAAATCGGTTGGCATAATTCTTTAGAGAACGCATAAAGCAATTTCGCGTCTTTTACCTGAGGATGCTCGTGCGATTTTAACGCTTACCCAAAGGGTGAATGTGGGCGAAAGCGCTCGGAATTTCTTCAACCCTATCATTAAAAATGGCCGTTTGATGGTTTCGAGTGCTCGTTAATAGCGCGACGCAGACGAATTTAACTTTTTTCTAATTAATCGACAGTCGACGCGGATAAATTAAGAGAGATTGTCTGACAGGTTACAAAATTAGCGAGTTATTTAAGGAAAACTTCTTTAATCATCGAAGGAATCGAGTAATAAAGAGCAGGCTTCTCGGAACCCCTCTGATGCGTGGTGGAAGCTTTGAAACGAACCAAAATCACGACTGAATCGACCGCTCCCGGTGCATCCTCATGATCAAAAGAACGATTTATAACCCTCGTAAAGAGACCTTGTAGGTAAACAAAGAAAATGATGACACTACAGTCAAACATCCATTACGCCTACGCAACGCAGACGTCTTCACGTGGGTGTACAGTATGATTTAGAGACCATAGGAGTGCAAGCGAGGGTGTAAATTCGCTCGGCATCCGAAAAATTAATGTTGATATCAAATGACACTAACAATACATGAGACAGAGTAATTCTTTTCAAATTCTGACAACTTTATTCGGTTCCGACACATAAAAACACATATTTCACGGTGGGTTTTTGTATTTTTTTTCCAACTGGGAAATTAAAAAACAATGAGAAGACTCGTATAAAACAAATACGAGAGACGGAGGAATATCAAAGAAACAATGGACATTATTAGAGAGACGTGATGGTGAGTTGGCTTTGGGGTGGTCTAATAGCACCTGCTTGTACATACAGTCCCGACAGTTCCTTTTATATTTATTTTCTACAGCGATTCTCAAAAAATATTATTCATTCTTGGGTATTCAAAACATGCTTAAATATGCGAAACTGTTTTCGTTAATTTGTTGAAGTTTGACAGTTAGCTATTTGAACCCCATAAAATGCAGGCATTAAAATTTTAACAAGGTTAGCTTTTCAGACACGGAATTAATATGTTTTTTCTACCCGTCTTCGTTTAATCGACAAAGCGCTTCCTTTCAGAGCATTCGCTATTTCCAGAAAATGGCAAATGATAAGCTTTTGATGGCCAGCTGTACTCTTAATTTTTTCCTGTTTGACAGGTAATGGTAACGCCAACAAAAATATTCTTTCATTTATTATTTATTTTTATATTCGAGCTCCCAAGCGCCAAAAATTAGATATTCGTCAAAACGACCTTCTTACTAGGCTTCCCTTAAATTTAAAGACGCAAAAGTGGCACAAATAAACGGAATATTTCTACTAAGAAAGTCAGATGATATAGTATTACTTAACAAAAAACATCTTATAGTTTGGAAAGCAGGAAAACTCCAAAACATGCATACTTATTATTTTGTGAATCTTATTTTAATCTTCAACCAACCAACAGAGTTCGCATTATTTCATAAAGAGTCGGTAGAAAATTGCAGGCCCCGTATATCTTTAATCGTTGGAATACAGAAAAAACTGTACTGCATTTAAAAGCGAAATACGTATCTTTTAAACAAACAATTACCTATTTTAAACCATTTTAAAATCTACAAAGCTTACATGCTAAACCCTCACAAAATGTTTGCAACTATTTATATCACATATTTTCATTTTAACTCCAAAAACTGAACTACTTGATAATGATAACTGCTACAAAAGACACGTTAGTGATGTAACCGTGACCAACAAATAGATAACATAAACTGCTATACTACGCTACACTATTTTCAGACTACTGTCGTATTTTCATAAAATATTAAAAACGCCTATATTTCTTTTTCACACTGTACTGTTGCGACACTGCGAATGTTTGGAAACCAAAACTGACCTCATCAATACGCCCACTCATTACTAAACTGCACAGACACCCTAATCCGAGACGAGTAGGTGCTAATTATTATCGCCCTGAATGCAGACTGAATAGCAACACCCACATTATGGTAAAACCAACCGCGGCAGGTAAAAATATTTTTTGAGCTACTGTACATCCAAGGGGTCGTTTCCCGATAAAGTTCCAGCGTTGACCGTAAAAACGAGTCACATTCTGACATAAACTGTATATTTTTAGCCTTGCGACGACATATGCTAATGCTTGAAGGTGTACTGTATGATATTTTTATGGTAATGTTCTTTTTAAATGTTAAACAAATGACATCATTGCGCTTTACATAATTCCACAAAACCGACGGAATATATACGGTGAACTCTGGTAAATTTTAATTTTACATTAATGGTATCCAACCCAGTCAAAAAAAATGTTCTACGATAGCAGCGCTAATGACGTTTTATCGTCGTATTTAAAAAAAGATAGACGAGACTAACAGAGAGGGTAAAAATTATTTATCATATGTGGCTAACTGCCACGGATTAGGCACTTTCAAAAATTGCGCACTTGTGCGATAACCTATTGAACGACCCTGTTATCACGAGTTTAAACTGCATTCTAAATTTGAGCCGACAGATTCCAACCCCAAATAACTGTGTTTACTGCTCGTACTTCAGTCGGGGGTGATAAAGGCTAAAATAATCATACCACACCACATGTAAAAAGGAAATGACGAAATTAATTAGCTCAAGGAAATATAAATTATAGTAACTAACATTCGTCTAGAATGCGCGACTAAACTATTCTATGTTTTGGTATTTTAACCCAATCGCAGTTTGCATTTACCATGGTCGTAGTTTCCAATTGCGAATCCAGCACACAGATTCGTTTTTGCAACGCTTGCCACCTTCTTTGTTCCGAATAACTGGTAGTTAAGTACCTACACCAACCCGCCACTGCATTTAAACTTTGCTGTTGTACGACTGTTTTTTTATTACTGTTTCATACTCGAGAAACTTATGTTATAATTCTTTTGTGGAGAAGCCAACGCGCGCCGCACCGAAAGGTCGAGAGAACCAACTGAATTGCTGCAGCATGGTACTACTCCATAAGCAGCAGGAGCAGCAGCCTCGGGGTTATTCTTTTGTACGGATTGGTTTCGTCGGTCGATCTCTATGACAAACAGCTGGGTTTACTTGGTAATGACCTTGGAGTGCTTCACAAAACGCTGCATTCGCACTGTTTATTATTGGAACTAGTGTAATTATAAATGTTTACGCGCAAACAGTTTTTACATAAGTATTCGCGAGGAGGCCGCCTAGACTGGAATTACACCGAATACTCGGCGGTGACCTTCTTGTTTGAGAAAACTACAATTACGTAAGCACGAAGAGTGCGAAAAAATTGCACATGCAAAACAAACATATTTATGAGAATGGGAGAAATGCTAAGATATGAGATGCGGTGTTTGCAGCGGTCGCTGTGGTACAAAATGTGCAGATTCAGGCGAATAAAATACCTTGTAACACTTTCGATTAATCATTTAAAAATGTTCGTTTCACCGCGGAAGAGGTATTGTGAAATCTGGAAAACCGGACAGGGCGGCGTACGAGAGCATGCATGACATGGGAATAATAATAGTGTCAACTGTATTAACGTTGACGCGGAGGGGGCAGTAGTAGAATAACTCGACTTTTTGTTAAATCATTTTTATGCAACAGCTACTCTTAATATGACGTAACTGTTATTTCAAGGTCTGCTCACATTATTTGCGATAAATATTGCGCAAAAAGAGATGTAAATCCAACACAAAAATATGAACTTTGTCCAAACGCAAATAAAAAAATTCAAACGCTTAGAACACATTACAAAATCGTGGCTAGATGAATAATAAAAGAGAAAGGGAAATCTAAAATTTTCTTTTAAAACAAAACGAAACGTTGGTAAAAAGAGGAGTCACAAAAAAAGACTAAAATGACGTAACAACCACAATAAATCGTTTATTTGCCAAAGTTGTAATTCCCAAGCTGACACTGCTGACAGTACAATATATTTCTAGAAAATGACGTGTTCCGTTTGCAAAAATTTATCATCACGTCAATTCAACCATTGTAACAGCAGCAAATCAGAGTCTGTATACAACTTACAACAAACTTTGCGTCACTGTATAATCTCTCACGTTTCTGTGGAAAAAAACTTACGGCCAAATTCAAGATCAATAACATAAAAAAATTGTGTTGACGTGACAATACGCAAAATTTGAATTTGTTAGGGAATTTTTTGTTTCTGCGTCTCACTCTTGCACAACAAGTAACGAAAACTGACGAATTGACGAAAACGAACCTAACCTCAACGCGAGGTTGTGTTATTGACGATCGTAAAAGCTGATTCTCCATTTTTCGATTGTGCTTTTTGTGCATAACCTCGAAGTGACTTGTGTGCAACATGACGACAGACACCGAAAGCTCCCCCCCGACGAAACCGAAACGCGGGAGCCAATCTAAATCTCCAGAACCCAAAAAACACAAACGAGATGATTCTCCCCACAAATCCCGCGATCGGGACGGCCGCAAGCACCGTTCTAAACGTTCACGTTCTAGAGAAAAGCGACGAAGTCGAAAGTACCACGACCTAGATCGTCCAGTTGAGGACTACCCAAGGTATTATGGGGAGGACCTCGACTACAAACAAAACAGTGACAGATACTGGACAAAGTATCCGCGAAAGGATGAAAATCAAATCGGTAACCGTTATTATGGGGGCGAAGCAGACAGCAATCGAGAAGTCGACAGAGAAAAGAGTAACAAGCAACCAGAGAAAGAAAAAGAAGAAATTAGGGACAAACCACAAGAGAACCCAGCAAAGGAGACGATTACTCCTCGCGAGAAAAAGACTGTTGATTTGTTGACTAGAACGGGGGGGGCTTACATACCGCCCGCGAAACTGCGGATGATGCAGGCAGAAATCACAGACAAGTCTTCAGCAGCATACCAAAGAATTGCTTGGGAAGCGTTGAAAAAATCTATTCATGGGTACATAAACAAAGTGAATACTTCGAATATTGGAATTATTTCCAGAGAATTGCTCCATGAAAACGTTGTAAGAGGTCGTGGTTTACTGTGCAAATCAATCATTCAAGCACAAGCTGCGTCTCCTACTTTCACAAATGTGTATTCAGCTCTTGTTGCTGTAATTAACTCAAAATTTCCAAATATTGGCGAATTATTATTGAAAAGATTAGTTTTACAATTTAAGCGAGGGTTTAAACAAAACAACAAAGTCATCTGCATATCGGCTACTACTTTTGTTGCGCATTTAGTTAATCAAAGAGTTGCCCATGAAATTCTTGCTCTGGAAATTTTAACTCTTTTAGTTGAAACACCAACTGATGATTCTGTAGAGGTAGCCATTTCGTTCTTAAAAGAGTGTGGGCAAAAATTGACTGAAGTATCTAGTAAAGGTAACTTAACTATAATCAACTCAATTACAGGTAGATGTTTAATAAAATAATTTGTTTAGGAATAAATGCAATCTTCGAAATGTTGAGGAACATTCTTCATGAAGGGCAGTTGGAACAACGAATTCAATACATGATTGAAGTCATGTTCCAAATTCGGAAGGACGGTTTTAAAGATCACGCTGCCGTCATTGAGGCACTCGATTTGGTAGATGAAGAACATCAATTTACCCACTTAATAACTTTGGATGATGTAAAACAATCAAACGCCGAAGACATTCTTAGTAATTACTTCAGCATAAGCTTTTTCTTTGCATTATGATCTATTTTTTACAGACGTCTTTAAATTTGATGACAATTATGAAGAAAATGAAGGCAAATACAAAACTCTGAGCAAAGAAATCTTGGACGCGAGTAGTTCAGAATCTGGCTCTGAGGAAGGTTCTGGTGAGGAGGACGAAGATGAAGATGAAGACGACGATGAAGAAGACGCTGTCCCTAAAAATGAATCCAACATCATTGACAACACAGAAACAAATTTGGTGGCATTGAGAAGAACTATATACCTAACAATCCAGTCAAGTTTGGATTTTGAAGAAAGTGCTCACAAACTAATGAAAATGGAACTTAAGCCTGGCCAAGAAATTGAGCTCTGCCATATGTTCTTGGATTGTTGTGCAGAACAAAGAACTTATGAGAAATTTTATGGTTTGCTGGCTCAGAGATTTTGTCAAGTAAATCAGATTTATGTCGAACCATTTCAACAAATATTTAAAGATACATATGCCACCACTCACAGATTAGACACAAATAAATTGAGAAATGTGAGTAAGTTCTTTGCACACCTGATGTTTACAGATGCTATAGGTTGGGAAGTTTTGGAAATCATGAAACTGAATGAAGAAGACACAAACAGTTCTAATAGGATTTTTATCAAAATTTTGTTTCAAGAGCTGGCGGAATATATGGGCTTAGAAAAATTAAACGCGAGGCTGAAAGACCCGTAGGTTTTTTCGTCAACCCAGTAGTGTACATTTGTTTAATCTCATATTTGCAGGACGTTACAGACGCACTTTGAGGGATTGTTCCCAAGAGATGATCCAAAGAATACAAGATTCGCAATTAACTTCTTTACATCAATTGGATTAGGAGGACTTACAGCTGAACTAAGGGAACACTTGAAGACAGCTCCCAAAGTTTCAACATTGAACATTGCAGAAGAATCGAGCGACTCCAGTAGTAGTTCCAGTTCTTCCAGCAGTGAGGAAAGCAGTGACTCAGGTTTGTAAAGAAAAAATGCGTACTAAATAAATTTAATGTATTTCAACAGAATCATCAAGTTCAGAAGATGAGAAAAAGAAGAAAAAGGAAAAAGATAAGAATAAAAAACGTCCAGATTCGTCTGATGAAGAAAAACGCAGAAAGAGAGATTCAAGAGACGTGCGAAGGTACCGGAACGAAAGATCAAGAGAACAAGACACTAGACGAAAACGGCGAAGTCCTGAACCCAGACACAGAAGATAAAGTTGCATGTATAATAATTGTTACTTTTTTTAATAAATTAATTATGTATCACGTAAAACTTGAAACTGTTCATATTTATGTAATAAAAACTTATTTACTGGTAATGGTTTGTTTTAATGGTAGACGTCGTTGTAACGATGGCTACTTGAATTTCGCGCCAATTTATATTTGGTGTATGTTTGTTTGCACCCGGTAATAAATCTTAATAGGTCAAGAAAATCACAGTTTTGTTGTCAAGTAAAACTCTGACGGTAAAAAAATTGTGTGTCGGTAAATCTGCCATTCACACACCGCTGGGAGTCTTTAAATAGGTTTTTTCTACCGCCCACGTTTTTTGGTTCTCTAATAGAGCTATTAACGCACGCAAATGACGTCACAGCAGTTCGTTAATAGCGGAAAGGCGTTCTTTAATAGATCTGGTATAATTTAGATCCGTAAGATTGGTAGCAATGACGAGAAATGTCAGGTGAATGTCAGTGGCAAATCTAAACTTAAAATTTCCCACGTTTCCGGACGCGTAACTTCTTCGCAAGACATTTTAACCAATTTTAAATTACAAAAACTCGAATTGGTTCGAATTACAATTGTTGTTGTGAAAATTCGAACCTCAAATATTTCGTGGTTAGCGTCAGACCGACCCATCACCAACCACGACAAAAGTCCCCAGATTAAAAAAAATGCAAATTTCAATTAAATTTTGGGAAAAAACGTGTGCGGTAGAAAAAATAGTATAAATAACTCGTTCATAAGGCCATTGAGGCACTCATCCTTTATATAACTCGCGGCTTCGCCGCTCGTTCTATAAACTTGGATTCGTGCCTCAATATTTGCCTTATGAAACTCGTTCTTTAATATACTATTAATGCACCGTCAAATCAAATAAGTTGGTAATTTTAGCGCTGTCATGTTGGCGGGTCGGTTCGTCTATACGAGAGCTGTCATTTGTGTCGCTAATTTTGTTCATTGTGTGTAGTAAATTGGTGCTATCGTGTTAAAAACAATTAAATCGATCAAAGTATTTTTATGAAGAAGAAACACAATAATCGCATAAGTGCAACGTGAGCTATAAATCCAAAGTAAGTAGTTAACTTTTACGATAGTAGGTTATACATCTCGAGGTGATGTTTTTTTTATGATGTCAAATGCGTCATTCATATTCAAGTAAATCTTCATGTTTCGTGGACGATTCACGAAACCCCCGAACCTGTTGATTAAAATCGTGCGATAAGAACTGGAGCCCCGTCAATATGTCAGCTGATTTTCGGACAACGACGCCCTTGAACCCCGCTGTTGGAAGCCTTGAAACCCATACGCCCCCTTTTTATTTCGTTATAACTCCTTTTATCAACTCATTCTCGTTGTTTCTGTGTTATAGGTCATTGCTGCGAAGCCCTAATCGGGGCTTCGCTTGCGTTAAGAGATAAATTTTATAATAAATATCTACGTTAAATGTCTTGCGGGGATAGGTTTCCACTTAGAAACCTACCAGAAATCACCATAATAGCCAGAGATAAGATAGATTAGGTTAATCACAGAACAAACTTTTAAAATTGTCCAAGTATATGAAAACAACGATAGCAAAAGTGAGTACCGTATTCGAATATTTCGTCGACTAATTACGAATTCGTTATCATGGGGCTAATTATCGAAAAGTGCAAGTTCTTGAGTTTCTCCAAATGGAGATCTGCTTTCGCGATTTTTACGAAGCCGGAAGTACCGTTATTGCACTTATTTCGTATTAATAATTTGTTTAGATTTCCCTTCTGTTTCCCTTTGTCGACGTTGTGAAATAACTTTCTCATTAGTCATCTTTGCTGGACTGTAAACAAATAAATGACGGCCACAGGGGCGGTTTTAGTAATGAAGCATTTGTATACTGGTAAAATATGTTACGAATTCTTAATATGATATACTCGTATTGAATCTAGGTACTTTAGGCTTAAAAAGCTGTAGATAGTTTGCATGTTTATTTTACTAGATTATACTATGCATTTGGAACACATGTATAATATTAATATGATACCAAATCTGTTATCATCAACTACTTAATGTCGGTTATATACCTAAGCACTTTTATACGTTCGCAGTTGGACCATTTGAAAAATGTGCAATTCGACTTATTTAAATAATAGAAATAATAATAAAGTTAAAAAATATAACTTCTATAAGTGAAGTGGTTTTGTGTTCGTTAAAATTCCCGAGAACGCATAAATTTCAATGTTTATAAATAATTGCTCATAATAATTAATATCATTAGAGAGCTAAACGACTAGTAAAAAATTATGATTTTATTTTCCGAAATTTTAAGATTAAAATTCGAAAAATATTTTCCGATAGTTTTTTTTTTGTCCAAACTTCAGCATTTTTTTGTTGTAAGTATGTCAGGTCAGGTCAGCAAGCATTTTTTTGTTGTATGTCAGATTTTTCTAGAATTTGTTTTACTCCAGTGTTGAAACTTTAGGCAATTAATTGCTTTTTATACGTTTCTAAAAATGTCCTCCAAAATAAAAGTTAGTTTGACAAATCCAGCTAAAAACTTAGCAATGTTTCTAAAAGTTGTGAACATTTATGTCAAATTCCATTCCCGATTTTTTACGTAATTTGTTTAATAAATCGTCCCAAAAAGTATCATCAAGCATCATCCAAGTTCATAACTTCTTCCGTGCTTTATAAAAATTTTGAAATACAAATAGGTACATATAACGATATAAAAAAAAGTCTGATTTGTAGCACGTAAGATTCGCTTATAGAAAATGTAAATACCAACTGGCTTCACGTTAGGCGCCTAAATGTGCCTGAGTTTCCAGAAACGTTCTCGAGTTGAAAAACTATCAGTTTTAGGAACGTGATTGTTACGCACGCCGATTCCGTTAACACGTTATGCAATTCTCGTGACGACAACTATTTCCCTTCTTCACGAGCCGCAACCGATAAGAATTTTCGTCGATGCCTTATTCACAGTCCGTTAACAAATGCTTTCTTTTCCCTTAACCAGACGAAATGGCAAACAGAACTGGAACAGCCCAACGACCAAACGGCTCGACACAGGGCAAAATCTGTCAGTTCAAACTGGTCCTACTCGGCGAATCGGCCGTCGGTAAATCCAGCCTCGTCTTGAGGTTTGTCAAAGGGCAGTTCCACGAGTACCAGGAGAGTACCATCGGGGCCGCTTTCCTCACACAGACCGTTTGCCTCGACGATACCACGGTTAAATTCGAAATATGGGACACCGCTGGGCAGGAAAGGTAAAGTAGCTGAAGACGTGAGACGAGGTTTTCGAAAATTTGTTTTGACAGGTATCACAGTCTGGCCCCGATGTACTACCGAGGAGCGCAGGCAGCTATTGTGGTGTACGACATCACCAATCAAGACACGTTCGGCAGAGCAAAGACGTGGGTGAAGGAGCTGCAGAGGCAAGCGAGTCCGACTATCGTGATCGCGTTAGCAGGAAACAAACAGGATTTGGCCAACAAGAGGATGGTCGAATTCGAGGAGGCCCAGACGTACGCCGATGAAAACGGGCTGTTGTTCATGGAAACGTCGGCGAAGACGGCGATGAATGTCAACGATATTTTCTTGGCGATAGGTAAGATGTAGCGGCTCGTGTCAGGCTTCGGTGAGCAGTTTTAGAGTACCGTTTTCTTTAATAAGAAATGAACTTTAAGCGTCACTTAGCGATGAGTTCGTTACTTTTTATGCCAGTGAATATATGCATTAAAAAAACACCTGTATTTTTGCGAAAAAGTCAAATGCCAATTAAGGTCACGTGCCCAGTTACAAACTGTTAAAACTAAAAGTTTTGTTTTAAATGAAACAACATAAAATGTTTGCATATCATTAGTGGTGTTTACACGTTCGCGTTATCTGCACGCCTATGGTGATATATATGGTGCATCGAAAAATAATAAAAAAAACGTAGCGTTGGACTGTGTTGTTAACCTAACGTCGCACCAATTCCATTGATTCTTGGACTTTTTTTTTGACACTTTTTAAGTGCGCATTTCAAGTCCCATTTAGGGAAACGCAACTTCTTACTTCTTGCCGACGAAACGTATAGCAAGCTGTGTGACATTCTTGTGTGAAATAATTGATGTTTATCATATTGGTTGAAAACGTTTAAGTTTTTTTGTTAAGTCGAAGTGTCGTAATTAAACAGCGAAATGTTTTCGTATAACAAAACGTGGTAACCTTTCTTTGTGTTGTAAGGAACGTGGGTCGTATTACATGTATGTAAATGTAAACGGTCCTTTACAATAACAAATAGTTGTCGTGGTCAGGATAGGGTCCCACCCGCATCTCGCCACTTCTCCAACCGTTAGTCCGTTTAATAATATTAATGCGATGTCGTTGTTGACGCAAAGCAGCGTCGAATATTACCGGTATGAAGGTTCTTCGGTAAATAGGGCGTGGGACTTTATTAGCTTAACAAGATTAAATGTCCGCCGTTGACGTATTAAGCACGTTCTTCCTATTTACAGCTAAGAAACTCCCCAAAAACGAACAGGCGACGGCCCAAGGCGGCAGCGGCCAAGGCAGGAGACTGGCAGAAGGCGACACGGGTGCCAAAGCCGCGGGAAATTGCTGCAAGTGATGCCCTCCCCCACCACCACCGTTCGGGTTTGTGTCTTTAATTCAGCGAGATGGACTGGACTGTGCTGTTGCACTTTAGTGATACATAAGTGTAATAATAAGCCCTTTTATTAATACTGTTATAACACTCATACAAAAGTACACTGTCACTTGTTAGGATCAGATCCTAAACGGTTTGGTTGCATTTCCGTCTTTTTTTACGATTCTATTTTATTTATAGCAAGTTGAAACTACTAAAAAGCTCTTGTGATAATGGCGTTTTTTTCTTTGACAGTGTAGAATTGGATTGACGAAATTATAGCACTCCAAATTTTCTTCTTGTTCTGGTCGATTTTATTGGTTTCTTCTTAATTCAGTAAGTGCAATTATCGTTAAGTCACCGCTTTCGGCAGATTTTGTCAATCTAATTTGTGTAAGATTTCTAAGGCGATTTAAAATTTACACAAGACACGTGTAAGTTGTAAATCTCGTTTTGTGTGTCTTTTAAATGTTTTTCAAATTATCTAAGTATGTTTCACAACACTTTCCGAGTCCACGGTAAAAGAAATTTGACAGTCGCCGCGTTGTTTTGAAATGTACTTTCCCAAAATGATGCATGACTGGTATTTTAATGATTTTAGTGTATGGAACTTTTTTTAAAGAGGAAATTAGCGAAACCGCTCATAAGTATAAGGGTAGGTCATGTATCATCCAGTCTCGCGCTCTATACAGACTTGTATTAACGACCAAGTCTTCATCGACCCCTGAGACTCTTAGTCCTACATTCGTATATATATAATTTAGTAGATGTACAATGTAGTAAGGTGGTTGTACAGATTTTAAAAATGAGGAAACTAATATCGTCTGGTATGGATGTCTCTTTATCCATGAGTATCACTGTATTATATTTGAATATATTAATTAAATTTATTATTATAAATTGTTTTATTAGCTTGCTTATATATGGTTATCATTATTCTGTATGCACAGAAACAGATTGTACAGGAAGTAAATCATACTCAATAAAGTTATTACAATACTCTCTTCGCTTTCCCCAACACGATAACCCGTCGTATCGGTCTGTTCTTTTAGACCAAATTTTTCCCGTCTATAAATTTGCCGTTTTTTTTTTTAATGCCTCTCAAACGCAAATTTCAATTTTGAGGAGACACCAGATTTGGCATTGTAACCAAAGCGACATTCAATATTCAAAACAACCTTAGATTTTCGCTTAAATGCGACGAACTCAGTGCAGAAAATTAATGTTTTTTCTCTTCTACTAACTTTCTCGCTACATGCCATTTTGATGACTGCGAATTCTAAAGTCTACAGAAAAAATAAAATCAGTTTTCTGAGTTTTCTTGTGTGATGACTGGATTTTCGATGGTAAGCGAAAACAATTTTTTAAAGGTTTTGATTTAGCAGCTCCAGACGTCCCTCTGACCATAAATAGTACCCACGAATTAGGAAACAAATTAATTTTTCTGCGGGCGGTACATGAGATTTCGTGTCAAACAATGAACGCAATATGATCAAGAAAATTAATGCATTTTTTTAACATCGATTTACCTGCCTTTTTCACGAGCGGTGGTGAGGCATATTAAAAAAAACCGACGCATAACACTCAATAAAAAAGTTCCATTGGTTTATTCGAAAAACTATAAATTTAATTCTGCGACTCTGATAACCTCTACAAGTTAATATACAAATAGGTTCGGATTATTAAACTACAGGACCTGGAGCAAATTTTATGCTAAAATCATCAGCTTTTAATAGGTACAAATCTGCACCAATGTGGGTAACTACAGCGTACTACTGTACAAAAGCAACAGTTCAGTATTATAATTAAATGAATTAATATTATATATTATTAGGAGAGCGATCGGGCAGAGGCTAGCCTGTTATGCCCGCGCTAAATCAAGTGGTGGTAAAAGTGAAAAAACTAAGTTGTAGAACAATGTTTGTCATATTTGGTTTTGAAGCTTATTATAGGTGAGGCTAAAACATTATATTTGAGACCATTTGTAAATCGAACGAAGGTCAGATGATAAAAATGAAAAATTGTTGCAGTTGTTGTAGAGCTTGATGTCGTGTGCAAACATGGCAGAAGACGATGTTATAATATTCTTAAAGCAGAAGACCAAGTACGGGCCCCTGAGGCACTCCACTCAGAACATAAATAGATCTACTGACCGCGTCTCCAATCTACCCTCTAAAGGTTCGATCCCTTAAGAATGAATCAATCTATCGATACAAATTACCCCGTAGTCCAAGATGGTCTAATCTGTGTAAGAGTCGGCCTTTAGGAACTGTTGACGAACGCCTTCGAGGAATCAAGATATACGATATCCAACGGTCGCTCCGAATCTGCATCTTTTGTCCAGTCAGACAGCACAAGAGGTTTGACTGAACAGATCTACCGGGCAAGAATCCGTGTTGGAATGAGCTGATGTGTCACTAGAAATGCAATCATCTAGTCCAGTGGTTCGCAAACTTTTATTATTGATGGCACCCTAAAATATTAAACAAAATTTGGCGGCACCCTGCCAAGAACAGTTTTAATTGTGACTAATTTATTATCAAAAACACTTTATCACATGATTGTATAATATGTAATTGATGTTAAGATTGATTTATAAATATTTGTTCTCCATAATTTAAGCTTGTCTTTTAAAGCCAAAATTTTTTCACTGGAGGTTAAAATATTTTCATTTCTACCTTGCATACTTAAATTTACCTATTTTATTTAAGTGTTCAAAAGTATTAATTAAATTATGCTAGTTTTGCACACCAAACGTGGTCTTGAAGGAGGTCAAAAAATTGTTCAATATTTTCTGATTCAAAAAACCTTTATATCTGTTTTCTTTAGATAGCCATCTTACTTCAGTATGAAGAAAGTTAACATGTTCAGAACACATTTTCCATTACTGAACAGTTGTACCATATTAATAAAATCAGATCATCAATTACTATTTTTTAAAGTTGGTTTTGTGCTTATATTTATTAAAATCATTATAAAATGTTCACGGCACCCTCTTGGGGGTTCCGCGGCACCCAGTTTGCGAACCACTTATCTAGTCGTATATGTATTATGGATTCCATCACCTCGACCACAAGAGATGTTAAACTAACAGGCCGGTAATTAGAAGCATCAAACTTATCGCCTTTTTTGAAAATCGGACGAATTGTTGTCGTTTTCCAGTCTAAGGGAACTTTTCCCGACATGAAAGATGTTTCCATCAAAATTGAGAGTGGAACCGCGAGGGAGTCTGCACAATTTTTCAAAACATTGGCCGAAATAAGATCTGGACCAAGGGAACTGTACGTTTTCATCATATTCTGTACAATTTAGATAGCATTTATACGGCAAAATTTTGAGCTGACGTCATCAATTTTTGGGAGGGGATAAGTAAATGTATTTTGACTAAAAATTTATCATGCTTATCATAACTTTAAAACATCTGCAAGATTTCAAAGCTTGCGGTTTTGCAGACTCAAAATTAAATTGCAAAATGTTGTTTTACAATTTTGATTTTTTTTTTCCAAAAATCTGGACGTTTCGGGTAAAAATTCCATACGGAGTCATAAACTACATGTGTAGGATTATGTTATTTCATACAATTTAAAACCCATTTACTATATGCAATTTTGAAGTGACGTCATCACATTATTGGTGGGGACGATTAAACAAATTTTGGTTAGCGTTTTACTATCTACATGATATAAATACAAAATTTGGCCCAGTACTTTCGGAGATTATCTGTCTAATAAAAATCCGTGACGGCAGACAGGCGGAAACGGGAGACCTATTTCTTCATATTCTAGGGATCATGAAAGGTCGAGAAAATGTAAAAGTAGAGAGTCGCCCGACGGACTCGATTACAATACTTCTTCGCTTACGCTCGGAAAGTAAAAAAAATGGCAGAAATTGTGGTAGGTATTTTTAAATCACATTCGTCAAGTGTACATTGCAATATTTAAATTATGTTCTTTCCAAAATCCAGAAGCTGTAAATGTTAAAAAATAAATTGCAAAATTATAAACAACGAGTCTCGTACTGCTGGTTGCATATTCCTTTCAATTAAAATATTGCCGAGATAATAAAACTGAAAACTTTAACGTCAACGTCGCGCATTTCGTGTGAATGATGCTTTACTAAAGCACCCCCAATTCACAATAAGCTCACGAATTCGATTGACATCGTGCAACAAATGACCCGAAACGCCCTACGTTGTATGCATGTGGGGGTCCAAATCTATTTTCGTCCCTGCAATAAAACGCAGTAGGCTACGTCCGAAGTGGGGTATCTAGTCAGCTGGGTATAGCACCACGTCAAAACATGACGTCTATTCCGCACCATTAAATCAACAAGAGAAAGAAATTACAAATTTTACGTTTTTATCGTTCGATTCAGTGCTAAAAATGTCCAAAGTAGGCACCAGTCGCGACTATCCGTGTCCAGCGTTTGCAACGAGTGGAAGATGCGACGAACAAGATGCGTTGAGGGTTATGGAACAGTTCAAGGATTTTTACGAAGGGAAGTTGAACGAAATTGATGTCCAGGGTGGCGGTGACTGCCTAGAGGTGCGTTAGCCCTTTTATTTTTATTCTTTCGTTTGCGGCGTTTGATGATTGTGGGCGTGGCGTGTTCTTGACATCTTTCACGACGACCTCTATCCTAACGGCGGCAATTTTGAATTCACAGTTGAAGTTGAAAATCCAGAAAAGATGGATCGACGACCTGACCGAACAGACGCAGATGATGGCACGTATAGTGAAAGAACTGGAGGACGAAGCCACCTCCAGAGTACGCATGTTGGAGGATAAGCTGCGCCAGACTTCGAAAAGTGCCTATGAAGTAAGTTGCGAAAATAAAAAAAAAGTTTTTCGTGCGGTTTTTTGCGTCCGTTCCTCTTTCTTCGCCTCCAGTGAAATCATTGAGCTCCTTCCCGATCCTTCATTTCCTTCAAAAAATAAGTGAAGAGTGATATAGTGAAGATTTTTCTGCAGGTGATGAAAAGGTATCAAAACTACAGCATTAGCCACAACTTAGATGAACCTTTCCAGAAAGTTTTCTATCTCGAGAACGATTTGAAAAACTTGCTGGAATTTCTAAGACGTGTTAGGGATGATAAAAAATGGAGCATCGACGGACTGCGCTTTTACGATGTCACATACAAGGATCTGTTTGGTAAAGGCAACAGTTGCGATTGTGAGGAAAAGTGAGTTTTCTTATACGTGGTTCTTTCAAATCTTGTTATCTTATTTGTCGATCGTGTCGTTGATTTTTTTAGGGACGTCGACCCGCTAACTAACGGACTGAGTTTGAAAACAAAGGTAGGCAAAACATTAAAAGTGACTCTACAAGTTGTAGACGATCCTAACGCATGCAAATGTCGCACCAAACAGTCAGAAAGCAACATTCGTTGCTCGTGTCCATGTCGATGCTGTCCTGCTCTATCAAATTAAGTTTAAAAGTGTACCCAACCTTTAGATTCCAAATATATTTCTTTCTCTTGTTCCATTGTTTCCATCTTCTATGCTTATAAGTTTCGCGTCAAGTCGACTGATTGTCAAACACGGCAGAATTAATTTATGTTTTTCTTCTAGGACGCACCGCCAATCGAGGATACCAGGTAAGAGGGTAAATTTCGTGGCCTTATCGTTGTAATTGTTATGCATTTTCAAGGAAACCCGAAAATGCTGACGATGATAATAAAACCCACGAAGAGTTGATCCAAATGCTGAACAAGAAAACTGATGAATACGACGAACTTCGACGAGTAGGGAACTTAATATAGAATCATATAAGGTATAATAACGCCACTTTGCATTTCAGTCCATGTTGGACATGCGCAATGCCCTAACGGAAGAAGTAGCTTGCAAACATGACATGATATCAGCACTTAAAAAAGACATCCAACAATTAGAAGAAAGGTGCGTTCAAGCCGACAAACAAACGGCTTTCAAAGACGATATAATTAAGGAACTGAGAAAAGAAATCAAGCATTTGAAACAACAGGTAATAGCAAAACAACCCAAAGAACCCGCTGTATCCAAATCCCTTATTTTCCCTAGATGTTATACAACTGCACTCGTGCAAAAATGAGAAATTATGAAAGTAAAACTCTGCATACTGTACGACACTGTCGGCATGTAGAAAGTCCGAAATTTTCTACGGTCATTTTTATTAACGAAGAGATCAAAACATGCTGTTCTGCTAAACATAAAATCGATGAGCAGAAGAAAAACAGCGAACCGAAGATAGATTTGACTAAATCAGAAAATAGCCTTCTGAAGGCTTCTTATGCACACGAAATTCCGGTCAAGGAAAAATCAAAATTTACTATGACCAATTTTAATAACGGTTTATTAGAGAAAGTGGCTGATCGAGGTCGATTTATGTAAAACGAAGCACAAACTGAATACGTCCTTGGATTAATATAGACTAATGTAGTACCTACTTTATTGCATTATTTTTTTAATGTTATACACATAAATATAAAGTTCGCAATCTGTGGTAGTGGTGTTTTATGAAAAAAACAATGACGTTTTGTTGTGCAACAATTTAAAATGTCTCATTTCTAGGAAAGTACGTTACATCAAACTGGAAAGCAACTTTTAGACGAAACTTTAAGAAAACTTGCCGAACGTATATGCAGTATGAAGAAAAAGTTAAAAAATGTGTATAGTAAACGGAAATTAATACAAACTAAAATAAAAGAATTGGAAGATGAAAACAGTTCAAAACAATTACTGTTAAGCAATCTGTATAACGTAATCAAAGGACTAATTACTAAACTGACGTTTTCCGAAAATAATAATGTAAATAGAACGTTACTTTTCGAAATATCGTTTAAATCCATTTTTTCAGCAGAAGACATGCTTCTGTAAGTTAGGTACTGACATAACAGAAGAAGAAAATCGGATAGTAAATTTTGAAAGTCCAAATGTAAACGACAACGTAGTTAAAATCATGGAACTAAAATTCGAAAATTCTGTACTAGTAGTTTTTTTGAAAAAAAATTTGACGTAACGTGTAATCTGTTCAATAAAATTGTTGACTCTTTATGTGTTGTGATACTTTTAAATGCTTCATTGTAGTTTTTCTTATATAATATTCCGGTTTTAATTCGTTTTCTCCGTTCTCGCAGAATAAAGAAAAAGAAACAAACCTTGAGCAACAACTGGAAGAGGCGAAAACCACGATAAAGCGAATGAAACCTAACGTGAGTAACAATGTCAAAAGTGTCTGTATTTTTGAATTCTTCGAATCATTATCTAGAAAGAAGTGGTGTCAACCTCCACGGAGATGGAAGACGAGCAACTGGTAATTAAAAAATCCAAACTGGTATAAAAAATAACACGCATCCACACTTCCCGCGTAATCACTGATTATTTTCGTAGATGCAAAACAAAGACGACATCATACAAATCCAAAACGACACACTTAATGTTATTGACCTTGAGTTGCAGGCAGCCCGAAAAAGAGAAAAAGATGCAGAAGACGAAATCGGTCGCAAACAAAATGAGATTGAGGAGTTAAAATGCAGATGTCTGAACCTGGAAAAGTCTTTGGCCAGTGCTCAAGGACGTGCCGACAACTTGCAAAAAGCGGTAAGTCGAAAAAACTTTCGTTCGCTTTGCACACTCGTCGCTTCGCAAAAAGCTTGCGCTTTGTAAAATCGATGATCGTAATTCTTAGGTGGATCTATATATCAATTCCATAAACGTTTTGGAAGCGTCCGAAGAAAAAGCTAAAATAGAGGTAAACTGTGTACAAGGTATAACAGACGAACGAAAAGCGTTTTTTCGTTTGTAGATTGAGCAACAAAAAATGACGATTACTAATTTGCAAGAAGCTTTGGTTATTGTGAAACAAGAGCTGGACGAATTGCGACAAAATAACCAACAAGAAGTGAGTGTCGGGTGGGCTGCACGATGGTTTGGAACGTCTAAGTCTAACCAAAAATCTGTGCATGACGTTTGAAAAGTGTTTGAGCATGCTGTGAGGTCGCAGGTGGAAAGCGTTTTTTTTTTTTTTTGTTAGAGGTGCCATAATAAACTTCTGTCCGTGTTGACTGCTAATGTTTGGAAAATAATTAGTTTCCGGCTGCGATGTCGCATATAAAAATTAATGTATTCGCAGATGGTAATTTTTAACACTAAGCACACATCGGTACCTATACCTACAAGTACTTAACTATATTTATTTTTATTTATTTTATTTATTCGCGAGTTACCTTGCCGTTCTTGTTTTATAAACTGTTAAGATACAAAAGACATCAAATTAAGGTTTTCCTGCTTTTATACAATTGTATGCAATAAATCTTTTCTTTAAAAATTCATGTTTTGAATGCGGCGAAATTCCCAGTAGTATCCAGCATGTAAGTGCTTGCCGTAATTCTCTTCTGACGCCTGATGCAAAAACAATTTATTTTAGGTCGAACACTACCAATATCTGTGTAATGTATTCTACGTGAATTTAATAGACTTGGAAGAGCAAAATAAAATTGCTGAACACGAGCGATCCCAGATAACCGATCTATACAAAAAGCTTCAAGACTGTAGTTTGGAACTGGAAATTGATCACTTTAACGTTTTACAGGATTTAGCTATTTTAGAAACCCAACTGTACAAATACCAAGCCGAGTCGAAGGCTCACGAGGTAATATTTAAGACAGTAAAATAGCATGCTTGAAGCTTTGTAGAGCGCTTTCGTTATTATCTTAAAACAATTTTACGAAATTATCACTTCGATACATTTAGGACGAAAAACTAGCGGCCAGAGAAGAATCGAAAAAATTACATAAACAAATTCGCTACTACGAGCACGTAGTTGACTGTTTTAAACACGAAATGACAGTCATGTCTGAACAACTGATCAACTTACAAGAAATCTTGGTAAGAAAAACACTCGTAACTTTTGCGTCGCACGATCACGAAATTTTTAGAAGTTATCAAACCAGTCATGCCGGGAAGAGAACGGACAGTTATACGCCGCTATCCACGAATTGCAAAAACTAAGCGAAAAGCTCCAAGCAGAGCTAGTCGACACCGAGAAAAAGGTTCTCATTGAAAACCAGAAAAACCAACTTAAGGACGCTAAAATCGGTGAACTCCAGTTGATTATTGGCCAGAAAAACGTCGATCTGAATATTCATGATGAAGCGATCAACGAAATGAAAATGCGTCTAGAAAAAGCCTTGATGGAAAATCAAGAACTCCAAAATACGGTAGCGGCGTTAAATACTAACGTGACGCAGTTACAATGTTGGAATGGGGACATCGAATGCACGCGAAAATCATCCAGATCCAGAGGAGTTTCCTGCAGGAGGAGCCATTCTGAGTGTAGAGATGAATGTCAAAAGACAAGCAAAAGAGTAGACTATTTGGAACGGCAAGACACCTCGAAAATGATACAGAAAGAGATAGATAGAGTGAAAGAGAAAAACAGGGAGAAGATACGAAGTTTGAAGCGTCAGGTGAAGGGAACAAATGTTAAAAAAAAAAAATTCTAAATGCAGAGTTCCAGAATGAAGACCTTAAGGAAAAATTAGCCACTAGTGAATTAACCAATCAGCGTTTTGCTGAACAACTCACATCGTTAAGGGAACAGATGTCGCAGCTAACGCAGCGAGAATGTTCCAGAGAACAAGAATTGGTACAGAGCAAACAAACTATCATCGAACTGAGACAAACCGTATGATTTTCAATTACGTAACTGCACGCATAACTGTCTTCCCTTTTTTAGATGATTGAATTAAACGAAAGTTTGGCCGAGAGCGAGTTACATCACATGGCGCTTGCCGAAGAGTATCACAAGAACAAAACAAATGAGAATCGTCAACAAGAAGACATCTATTTAAGCTGCCGTTGCGAAATTGCGTTATACAAGAAACTGGCCGATAACTTTAAAGAAGCGGTCTGTTTTGATACATTCTTTCACTTTGTTTTTACACATTGATTCCAGCTCTTGGACACCAAGAAGAAATTGTCGGAAATGGAAGTCAGAAACAAGTCACTGAAAGAAGAACTCAAAAACAAAGATGCGAAGATCACAGAAATAGTAAAAAGATCCGGAAGAAAAGAACAAGAATCGTGTGAATGCATCGAACTCATGAAAGAAGAATTGAAAGAAGCTCGAGAAGAAGAAAAACGTTTGTCTATACTGACAGAACAACTGCAGAATGAACTAACAGCATCTCACGAAGAAGAAAAGCGCTTGTCTAAATTCATCGAAGACTTGAAACAGCAAGTACAGAAGAAAATTGAAGAAAAGAAAGATGTAGAACGGGTTATAATTAACTGTTGTGACTGTAACGACATGGGCGCAACTCAGGAAGAAATAAATTGTTTGAAAGTCGAAATAAAGAGTATGTTACAAAACCAGTTAGCCCTGAATACTGAGGTAAATCATAGTATACAATTATGTTATTCAGATTGCACAAAATTTAAATTTTAGAACGACAAACTTTTAAAACAACTCGGTTGCTTACAAACGAACGTACTGTCACTAGAAGATCAAAATCATCACCTGAAACAAAAATTTCAAAAGTTACAGGATGACTGTCAGAAACTGAAAGAAAAAAATATGATTCTTTTGCAGGAAAGGGATAGTTATGTCCAAACAATAAAAAATTTGGAGTTTGAATTGGCAGAAGCGAAAAATAACCGTGATGACCTCTGCGCAGAAAGTAGACACGTTGTTAACAACGTTAAGGCGTGGTTGCAAGAACAACGAAGAATAAACCAAAAAGTTATGCAGAGGACTCGTTGCTATTGTGACACTATTGCTAAATTGAAGGAAGAAAATGAGTATGTCGTAATCCACCACTTCTTTCCTTTTTTATTATTAATATTTTAGGAATCTGATGACGGGACGTCCTTTGATAACTCCCACTTCTTGCAAACCGAAATATGAACGACTAATTGCAGCTTGCGTACCAGCTGAGTATCAAACCTGCCAAAACCCGTGTTGTTTAGGATTTAGTTTAGGATCCGAAGGAATCGGTTCGGTGGATATTAGTCCACCCAATAGTCCAGCGAGTTGCATTTGCAGCGTGGAAGATTGGTATTCCCCAAATTACAAAGTAAAAAAAGTTTATATTTGTAACAGTATACTTTACATAATCTTTACAGGACGACGATGAAACTGATGATAATGAACATTTTATCGACACTGTCGAAGCAATTACTCACGAAATCAAAAATAGTAACAAAAAATGGAAAAACAAGTGCCAAGAGTGTGTAGTGTCGAGAGATAACAAGTAATGTAGTGGTTACTCATGTATTTTAATTATTTATTGTGAACATTTTTCTACTTTTATAACATGTATGGTACTGCTGAAAAGCGATTATAACAAAACAGAAAAAATGTTTTTTTTTTGTTTCGCAGGCCATAAAATAAATTCGAAGGTGAAGAGGTTTTCTGATTCCTCATATCGTGTGCCACTCAGAAATTTGTTTGTTAATCTTTGAAACAGAGCTATTAAGTTTTGGATAGTATCAGTAGAATACTCATGCAACTGTAATAGTTATTTAAACCTCAGTGTAAAGTGTATTCCAGGGAAGAAACGGAGAGGGTATCAGAAGTAAACGATAGAATTCGATCAATAAGATGTCATAAGATTTCTTGAAAAAAATAAAAATTTGTTAGCCAACTTTACGCCAGCTCAAAAAAAAATCGTAAAAATTAGTTACAATTTAAATATTCCTTCTAAATATCAGATGACATTTTTCTTAACTTTTAAACAAGGGATGTTGTATATTAATTTTATTACTCCTATTAGTTGTAATTATATTAACACAATGTCCATGTTTTCAACTGATTTTAGTATGATCTGGTATATCATTAAAGAATTTAATCAGTAGAGGGAATTCTTCGATCTCATGGTGGTCATGGTTAAGTCAATAAATAATTAACTATTAATAATTAGAAAACTTACCCTTACAAACCTTTTTTCATTGATGCCCCAGTAGTCGACTCCATATTAGATTATCCGGCGTCCAACTGAACCAGAAATTGACTGAATTGAAAAGTACTCTTCCTCACTTCATTTTGATTCGCCATTAATTTATCAAAAACACTTAACACACTGTATATTTGAGGGTATGCTCATAAGAAAATATAAACTTTACTGAAAAAATCCCTACAATGCAAATCTTATTTGTGTAATGTGCACTTTGAAAGATGTAGGACTGTAGAAGAATCCCAAATCTTTAACACTAAGTTAGAAGGATGTTCAGAATAGCAAGGAAATTAATATAAGTACAGTTTCGTCTTCCCTTGACGTTAAACAGAATGATGAGAATAAAATTTGTAAAAAGCTTTATAATTATAATATATGCTTGTTCAAAGGTACGATTTTAGTATCTATCATCAACTTCATGATTTGTTCTGAAGAGCTCATTTTAATTTTTTCTAATTACTTCTAAGCACAAAAAATGTTGCGAATTGTATTTATATAAACTTTGCTTAAAATGGTAAAGAATAAGTTCTTAAATTTTAAGGGTTTATCTTCAAGGTTTTGACAGTACACCCTTAACAACTAAACACTACAAATAAATATTAAAGAGATATTAATGGGTAATACTTCTACGAAAAAAATTCATCTGAACTCCAGCTACAGCAAAGCGCAGCCTGCGAGACCGCCACCAGAAAATTACCGAACAATCCTAACATAAACATCGCTGAGTTGTCATTGGCTATCTAATTAACTGACGCTTTCATTAACGTCCAATCGCGTTACAGCATCGTGACTTCATCAAAAAAGGATGACATCATGTCGAACCACGCATGACACGAAACTGTTCTGCGAAATTAGAACATTGATGGACCTTCAGGCACATTTCTTTAATTTTGAAAAACTTGCTTTTTAATAAATGCCTGCACTATATAAGCAATTATACGCCTGTCACTGACAACATCTAGAACTAAGGACAACAACAAACGACAGACAACACAACGTTGTCTGTAAAATCGCATAACGTAAAAAATTCAAGCACGATCTTACCCAAGATTTGCATGTAAATTTTTACAACAATTTATCTAAATGATCCGAAATACAACGTCTTCACTGTAAGGTTTTAAAACACAGGAAACTAAGGAAATCGCGAGAGACTGCAGTTGGCGAGTCACTACAACAGAAGACTTCAAACAGTAATTATCTTGTAATATTTGTGAAAACAACACTCGTTACGATTAAACACCCCCACTTGTGAAAAATAATCATAATTTTAGAGACATTAAAGTGTAAAATACGCGCTTTTCGAGATGGTCTTCGACCAGTTTAAAATTTTTAGCGAACTGTCAACGTAACTGATGGTAACACTGGCGCACTGTTGAATAAAGAACTGAAACCAAAGGCGGGATTTTAAAAAATATGTATTGTTTACAGATTTTATTGACTTGTTTTTGGTTTGTGCTTACAACAGAAATCTTTGATTCAATATTTTGTATTACATCTATGTAAATATATCCTATGACTGTGCGTTACATTTTTGTGTAATAAAAAAAATAAATAAAAAATTTATGAGACACATGACTTAAAAATATTTCTGTTTCATGTTAAAATAATGTTTAGGCAGAGGTTTAGGTATCTCAAGTTTACAAGAAATCCTGTAGAAGTTGCCTGTAAAATGGGTTAGGCAATCCAAAAAACACCAGGGGGTTACATAACCTATAACTTTCATCACAATAATATAACCTGCAAGTGGTATAAAAACAAATACTATTCAACTTTTTTAAACACACACAAAAACGCAAAAAAGATGGATCTGAGTTGTTTGAATACAATAGATTGTCAACAAGGCGCCGTGAGGGCTGTCCGTTTCAATGGTAAGTTAGGGTTATGTTTATTCTGTTCCAAAAACCGATTCCGTTGTAGTGGACGGCTCCTATTGCATGACCTGCGGCTCCGACAAGAAACTCAAACTCTGGAATCCATACCGTAGCCTTCTGCTCAAAACTTATGGAGGCCACGGCAACGAAGTACTGGACGCTTGTGGTTCGTGCGACAGCAGTCAGATTGTTTCGTGTTCGTCTGATAAGTCGGCGATTGTGTGGGACGTCTCCACTGGACAGCCGTTACGTAGACTACGAGGACATGCCGCATCAGTAACTTGTGTTAAATTCAACGAAGAATCTTCTGTTGCCGTGACGGGGAGTCTAGACAATACGGTGATGTGTTGGGATGTTAAATCGCGGAACACTAGCCCCATACAGACACTTAAAGAAGCCAAGGACTGTATTACGTCAGTTCAGGTCACAGATCATGAGATTCTAACAGGATCAGTTGATTGCTCTGTGCGGAGGTACGACTTGAGGAATGGGAGTTGCCATGCTGATTTTGTGGGGGCTGCTATTACGAGTGTTAGTTTTTCACATGATGGACAGTGTATTTTGGTGGGGTCTGCAGATAGCACAGTTCGATTGCTAGACAAGAATTCAGGCGAGTTGTTGGGAGAGTGAGTTAAGCTAGGTTTTTAGTTATATGTTTTCTTGAGTAAAATTATTTTCAGGTATGTAGGGCACAAAACTCAGGATATGAATATCGAAAGTGGTATTATAACAAGTGATAATCATGTGTTGTCAGGTTCAGTGACAGGAGAACTGTTTTGTTGGGATTTGGTTGGTGGAAACGTTGTGAAAAAGTACACTCACACTTCTAAAAAAGTTTTGAACTCGATTAGTATTCATCCCACACAAGACATTGTTTTAACTGCATCTGTACAGACGATAAAAGTTTGGGGCAAAGCTGAAAATGCGCCAGAAAATGTGGTAAATGTATGAATAAAGTGTATATTTTCCTAAAAATACAAACATAACAAGTATCTATCATCTACATAACATTTGAAAATGGGTTAGAAACGTTGTAAACATTCTCATAAAAGGTAAAACATTGTTAGGAAAAAATCACAGCACAACAGTGTGTTAGCGTAAATAGGAATCTTACATTAGGAATCTGATGTGTTGATTTTCAACCTCTTAGTGTTAGAATAACCAACCAGTACCCCAAAATTTAAGTAATATGTACAAACGACGCATTTGAAAACATCATTGGTTTGACATTATGAAATATGAGCAACGTTTGGAATTTCGTACATATACAGCATGTACCAAAAAAGCCGCATCAAACCTGAAGCAGTCTTCTCTTCTCATTGGTCACGCTTTGAAAGATCTCGAATTAGCCAATCGAGTAAGCGCTTCGGCAGCATCGAGCTCCTCCCTTCCGTGAATCTGGTATACCTGATTGGTTGCAGAATTCGGTGCGCTCTTCTTTTTCTTTTTCTGATTCGTGGCGAACGTCCAGTGCAGATAATTATCCTCACTTGGCCTAAAATTCACAGCACTCTCTAACCATTTGGAGATCATCGAAGGTTTCGTCATATCGTCCTCAGTACTTGCATTGTTTTCCGGTTTTTGGCAATCGCGCAGATATTTTTCCATGATGTGATTTTTGTACTTGGCCGATTGACTGAAAGGGTTTGGTTCTACTTCGTTGTTTTCCGTAACTGAATTGATGAAGTAACATTGACTTTGGATGTTATTGTTATTAGGTTGTTCAGTAAACGTCGTGTAGCTATGATCTGGTTGAGTTGAAATTTCTTCAAATTTGTCGTAGTGTTCGCTGTCGTCGGGTTCTTCCCAGATACTGTCGTCGGAGCAGATACTGAAATGTTCCACGTTTCCTTGAACCTGACTATTGTAGGATTTTATCAGGTCGCCCCAGGTTTTGCGCTGGGGCTCTTTGCCCGCATTTTTGAGTTTGCGGCGCCAGTTGGCGAACCAGTTGCATACCTGAAAATGCATTTCGAAGTTCTTAGATTTTAATTCTAGATGTAGCGACATGCTTTTTTACGGAAACAATTTAAGAAAAAATTTTCGTTTAATCGGAGATTCAATGTATCATCTGTTAGTATGAAGAGTAATTACGGTTCATCCTAAAACTTACAACAGGGACCTCTTTGATTTATTCTTAGTAATCTGTATTACATTTTTCACAACGTTTGCGCTCAGCTTCGCAGGAAAAGGGATACTACATAAATTATTATTTATTAAGCTCTGTCACGGACTGAGAAATTTACGTAATTCTAGAACATTTTTATAAATATGTAATTGCGCACGCAGACACTGAAATTTATTTTTTTAAAACCATATGTTTTTCGTGGCGAAGCTATAGGAATAAGTTTTTTTTTCTTTAGAAATTGGTAAAAATTACTCCTATACATATATTAAATTACTGAATGTTTGAAAAAAGACCCGTTGGATGCATGAAGATGCGTGTGTGTTCATTTTACATGTATAGCTTTTGATAGCTTAGCTACAAAATTTTACAATAGAGAATTTCAAAATACATGTAGAAAAAAATTATTGATCCACTTAAAAATAGATTCTTTTGTTAGCATATGCACGTGGACATTAAAAACTCAGGAATCATTAAAAAAAAGTACAACAACCTACTAATGAAATGAGAGCGTATTTTGAAAATTTTGTTTTTCCCATTTTCAACGCATTTGATTTTTTTTCCCTTTTTCTTCCCTACCTGAATGTACGTAAGTCCTGTCTGCACAGCCAAATTCTTCTTCTCATCCCTGTTAGGATATGGATTTTCGCGCCTCCTAACGAGCCAGTCTTTGAGAAATCGTTTAATTTCCGGTGTGAAAAGCCTCTTCGGCGGCCTTTTGTCTTCGCCGTAGCCTCTTCTGTGCACAACAAAAAACCGTACAAGGACATCGTCACCACAAAAATTCCAAAAATCTCGTGTTAAAAAATTAGTTCACACACACAAAACCATGTTTAGTAGTTTTCCGGTTGGGTTGTCGTAAAACTAGTCTAACCTGGTGTATCTCTTGGTTCTGATGGGCCTTCTAGACCTCTCGCGGGTGCCGTCACCGACTCTTGTATCCATTTTTTCTGATTAAAAATAAACAAATGTCATTTTATACGTTGAAAGTTTGTGTAAAAATAGAATTTCATGTTGGATAACACTCAAAAACAAGATGGTCGCTGACATGTTACAATGCTTGTAAAGCTCGATTTTGTCCGGAAGAAATTCAATTAGAGGCTCGAAACGTGGCTAAGTAGCAATGATCTAAAGACGCAAGCTTTTTGAGGTGAAAATCAGAGTTTTGCAAGAGACAAAGGAGGGTTTTTGTTTAAAACAAGCAGTATCTTAGATGATTCACAAAAACATGACTAACGCGCAGATGTGTTTGTTAATTTTTTTTCTTTGTTCGGCGAGAAATGTATTTTTTGATGGATTGCACTTACTTACGCGATACGAATATGTAAATTTTGTTTGATAACACTAAATTAGGGTGTGTAAACAGTTTAAGACTTTATCTGAAACTGAGCTGTTAGTCTGATACGATCTGGGGACATCTATGCTGTTTTATTTTAGGATCTTTCAGTCTCCCGCGTTGGATTTTTTATAATTGTTCGATTGCGACTCATTTGAATGGTGTGATTTAAAGTGTGTTGTTATAGATCCTTAAATTAAAAAAGAAATGCTAAAAAACAATGTAATACCTCAGTATTATGGCCGTCTGCTAAAATCGAGACGTACCTAGCATGAGATTTAGAAAGACGAAAAGAAAGGCCAATAGAAGTTGCGTTCACAAGTAGATCCAATTTCATGTTACAGACAACTGGAATGACTGTTTTTCAGATATTTATTACGAGTATTTCTTTGTTATTAGTAGAAAATAAATTACAGAAAATTATAGATTAAAAAAAAAACAAATATCGTGAAAATCATTACACTGTGTAAATAACTAATTCTAAACAATAATTTTTTAATTAATAATTTTTAGTTTTAAATTAAAACAAGTTGTTAGATTTTATACTTGGTGCGATTCTCGCGCCCATTTCAAACTAAACTTGTTGACGGTTTTGGTTATAACGAAAAAGGTACTAACAGGTTGAAATTTCCCCAGATTCAAAAAACAAACGTAAACAGCTAAACAGTCAAAAGCAGAAAAAACATTAAAAAATATTAGGTATCAGTCAATCACAATATCAAAATGGAAGGTAACATATTTAACAGTGCATTTTAATTTTTTGCTGTTACTATTTCTTGTGATTAGTCTTCTATCTCACTTTAAAGGTTATGCTTTGCAGATGCTTCGGATGTATCTCTGTATGTACCTTGGAGTGGCAAGTTCGACGGTAAAATGGAAGAAGAATTGAACACAATTGAAAAAATACATAGAAGGAATATGAAACAGTTCAAGGAATTAAAAGATTCCGTGAAGGCATTACCAGTATTTGACATTGTTTGTAAGAGATGGAATTAATTGTAAGTGGGTCTCCTCATTGCTTTTGTAATACTTTCAGCTCCTGTTAGTGTGGATCATTTTAAACAAATCAAAAGACAATACCTACAGGAAGAAGATGATGGCTTCAGTACAGTCGAAAAATACAACTCTGAATACAATTCGTTACTAGAACAAGAGGATGAACTGTTAAATGAAACTGGCAAACTACAGAAACAGTCAAAAAGGTTAAAGTTAGATATTGAACGAACTGAAAAAGGTAATTGCAACTATTTTTACATATAATTATGAACCATATATATATTTTTTAGAATACAGTATGCTCAAAAAAATGTATCAAGAACAAAAAAGTGCCTTACATGTTGCAAAAAATTTATACGAAACTAGTTTTGGAATACGGATTAATGTCACAGATAAAACTTGTAATGATAAATTTACAGCAACCGTCTGTTGCCATGAGGAAAATTTCCCAGTTAAATTTTTAATGAGTCGAACAAGCAGAACTGTAACAGGTAGCAAAAAGTTTTGATTAGTGCCATCATTATTCATTTTTTGTTTTTAGATTTTGATGCAAGTTATTTTCTGACACAGGAGGAATCAGAAGACTTAAAAAATGAATTTAACCAATCATCTGACCCCCTAGCGCTTATTTGTGCATTAAAGGAGAAGGTCACAAATAAACTGAATTGATTTTCATTTTGTTTGAACATAAACACATTTTTTTGTAAATAATTAATGACGTTTAGTTAGTGTACATAATTTTATATGAAAGTATAAATTATTTTTGAAACAAACAAATTAGAGTTTGTGTGATACATCTGTATAAGTTCATATTGGAAGTGAACCAGATGGCAAAACTGAACAATACAAATCCCTATAAGTGGTTTACACTTACGGCACAGTGTTTTGCTCTTTTACCAGTGGATGGAATCAAATCCAACAACATACATTTTCAGTGGAAATCAGTTCACATTTGTTACACTTTATTTATAACTTTAGTTCTATGTGTTCTTTTAATTTTTGAGGTGATTTACTCGTCTGGACAAATATTAAGCGAGTATAGAATAAGTATATGATCTTTATATTAACGCTTTGTTCACTGCAATTTCTGTAATTTCTAGATTCGCTTATAACTAAAATTTGCAGTGTTTTAATGTTAATTGTACATCTTAGGCTAGGATATAAGTGGCCCAGTTTAATGCAAAACTGGTCCCAAACTGAAACTGTAATGGATATTCGTTATGGACGTTTAGAGAACTTTGGTTTGAGAGTAAAAATATGCATACTTTTATTTTTCGTGACTACCACAGGTAACAGCTTTTCCGTTTTGTGTTCCTATATGAAGCAGTGTTTTTAGCCGGACATTTGAACGCGATCGTATACCAATATATGTACGGACACGTTTTAAAGTTTGATTTCTATGCATTCATTTTTGATTACATCCCATTTAACTCTATTCTTGGAATCACTCTTGCCGTAAGTATTCCTACGAGTCTCATTTGAAACGCGAGTTCTTATTGTAGTTCGTATACACGGTACATTTTTTCATACTCAACTTTAATGATTTTTTTATAATTGTAACAAGCATGTATGTTGCGTTGAGGTTTCAACAAATTCGTAAGCGACTGGAAAGGCAAGAGAAACACGCGCAGGTGACAAGATTTGTGCGTCTTCTCTGATCTTAAACGACATTTCTGTTTGCAGCGTGGGGTTGAAATAGTTGACTTTTGGCAAGAAATGCGCCGAGATTACGACCGTCTTTCAAATCTGTGTTTGGAAGTGGATGATGGCATAAATGGTCTAATTTTTGTCTCGTTTGCCGACAATTTGTATTGCGTGATAAGTTATCTGTTTCGTCAATTAATGTTTATTATTTAAAAATATGTATACAGCGGAACATTAAATCATCGTGTATTTCTAGGGTAGAAAACGAAGGAGCTCAGCTAGTAATATTTTATGTATTTTTTCCTATAATGGTGGTTAAAGTATTAACAGTATGTTTATACACGTCATGGATTAATGACGAAAGTTTGGCACCGGTAAACATTTTAAATTCTGTCTCTTCAAGAGACTACAACCCAGAGGTAAATTTCGTGTCATTTATTTTCTTTGTGTGACATTTTTCTTTAGATTGGTCGCTGGTTAACCCAAATGAGTTTTGATAAAGTTGCTCTTACGGGGGGAAAGATATTTAAGATTACAAGAAGCATTTTCTTGAGTGTATGATATAATAACTGATTTTAAACATTCTCCGAAAAGTTGGTGTGTTTTGTAGGTGGCTAGTCTTGTAGTGACTTATGAACTTGTAGTGATGCAGTTCCATGGTTTTTCCTCGAAGGCTTGAGTATATTTTATAGAACTCTTTTTCAAGATAATTTCAAATGATAGGTAATAATTTGCTGTGAATAAAGATTTATGCGTTAGAATGGTTTTTTCTGTACCTACTTATTTTTTTGCAGTATACTTACATATTTCATATCTTCGCACTAAACAAAAAGATGCCAACACAATGAAGGTGTGCATTCATTCGTATATAAACTGTTTCCAGTGTCGTGGGTGTGTTTAAATTGAAGCGAAAAAAATATCTTCACGACTAAAAGCTTCCCAAGAGAAAATACTTTTGTAGATTTAAAAAACTTGACGACTGGCGAGAATCGCTCCGCTAGTACCCTTTTCATCCTTTCGACTTTCGCTACTATCCCCAGTAGAGGGGCACCCAGTACCACCGCACCTCGACCACCCTCACTAGCGCGATCATCCCCTCTTCCATTGATGTGCGTCTGTGTGTGTCACGCACCTCCGCGTTCTTCAGCTCTGCCTATACAAAGGCGACTACCGATTATCACCCCATTACCTATTCCATGCTCATTCCTATGTCGATCTTTTTCATCTAAGGACTGTGTAGATCTCTATCACCTAAGGACTGTACTGACAACTCGAAACGAAAAATTGATGCCCGCCGCCAGAAGAAATCTCACACTCTGCTAAATGTACTCTTGTATTTACACTAAGCTACAGACGTAAATTAATTTATAGTTTTTGAAAATTTTTAACATGGTAGTCGCGGTCTTGGGTCCTAGACTCACGATAGTAGCGGTTCGAATTCTTCGTTAATATAACGGTTAAAAATTTTGGCAAAAACAAATTCAGAATTTAAAATAACCAGAACATCGTCCTCAATTTATACAAAAGCCAGGACTAAAAGTTGACTGTGCTTGCGTTTTACAGATCAGGGTTGAAAAATACATTTTTTTATGTTGAAAAACTGGAAATCACGTCCAGTTCGCAACAAAAAATTCGAATTTGAGTTCCATTCTAAATTCAAAATTAGCGCGCTCGTACCTGTCGACTGAAGCGAAATCACGTGACCCACGCTGGGCGCCATTTCTCCGTATAAACAACGGCCGGGAAGGTGTTTGTGTGTGTCTTTGTAAAATTTGTGGAAATTTTGTGAAAACAGACAATTAAAATGTCGGAAGTCGATGCAGTGAGCGCTAACAATGCCGTCGCGGAGGAAAACACTTCAGTAAGTAACGTGAAAACGCGTTTAATCAACATTTCAACCTGCAACAATCCAGCAATGTGCACGTAATAGTGCAGTGATTTTAGAATGTGACGCGGCTTGGTTAAACCCCTCTCGCAACGATGCGTTGCGGCAAGCGCACGCTGATACGATCACCGTCTAAAACCCAAACTGGAAATCGACATTAATTTAACGAATTTCGGCAGTTTATTCGAGTGAAAGTGGAAATTTTTATGATTTTCAGCGAAAGACCGCTACGGATGTGCTTAATTTTTATGATTTCGTTGGTTTGTTGCAGGATTTTTTTGCAAAAATCCACTTTTCTACATGTACGCCATTTGTGAGCGGGAGAAGCTACGACGTACGTCGTTGTCGACATTTCACTCTTTCGAACGATTTTCAATCAGATTGCGTGTCGGTGAATGGTGCGGACGGTGATAGCATTTTGGAGGGAAACTTTGAAAATATATTTTTTTTACTTTTGGGAAGTATAAGGACGGCATAACAGTTTGATACGTAATGCCAGCAATGATTGGTATAAAACGCCAAAAGGAAAATAGATATGAAGTGCACTGAATTAGAATACGAAAAATTGCCGCCATAACCTCAGATTTACACAAGCATTAAATCTTCAGTTTTTTTTTTTCTAATATGGCACCACTGTTATTTTTGCTGGTAATTTTTTCCACAATTTTTTACATGATATTTAATATTGCTCTGACGGTTATATGTCCTTCTCCCAGTGAACAAATGCAGAATTTTATTGTAAATGTATCAATTAATTAATTTAAAAACTAATCAATAAAAAGTATAACGCGTAATCGGATTGTTTTTCGTCAATTTTTGCATTATGTCAGCAACTTCTGACCATAGAGTACCCTGGTTCTAACTGTTTAGCTTTGTTAGCTGTTTTAATAGGTGGTTTTGAAAAGTGTCGCCACAAACTTGCGTTTAATACCTATTTTTACCTTTGATCAGACATTTAGCCTCACTTTGCAACATTTTTTAGACGAAATAAAAAAAACTACATTTTTTAACAAGACATGTGAAAATGCAGTAGACGCTTTAAAAGTGCAAAAGTTGCATACAAAATCTGAAAACGTTCCCGACAAGTTTAATTTCTGACGATTTAGATTTTATTATTCATGAATAATTTTCAATAACCTGAAAAATAAAGCTCCTTCCTCAGTTAATATATTTTTTTTCCTGACGAGTGTCACACAAGATGTGTTCAAGAATTTTAAGCGACCATTGTTTCAGTGTTAACATCCCAAAAAAATCGTTTTTAGGTATATTCATTCAATAATCACGTTATTTAATAGATGATAAACGGTAAAAATTAAATAAATAAACGATGACAAACAGGTACTAAACGAACTGCAATGGAATTACTTGCCTGTGAGCAAAAAGTGTGAAAACATAAACTGCTCGGTAAACAAAGATAAGAATATCAGGCTGTTTCTGTTTGTTTTCCTATCCTGTAGCCAAATCATTAAATTTTTAAATTATTATTGACGTTTTCATTGATAAAGTTTCCCTGTTATTGACTTATCTACGTAAAAACTCTAAAAACCTGGCTAGATAGAATCGACATCACGTTAAATTTTAAGTTATGAACTGTCGATGTGTCAGAAAAAAAAGTTTTAAATCGAATGTTTTTTATAGAACGACAAAGCAACAAAGTCGAGGAAGTCAAAGTCACCTCGAATATCCACAATTGACAGGACTCGAGAAGAAAGCGAAGCGATTACTAAGGTATGTATCTTGCGTATATTGAAAACTTGTTGACGCTGAACAATTTTTAAATATCATAGGGTATCACTGGAGACGTAGAAGGACGCCGCCTCACCCGTTCAGCGGCCAAAGGAGTAACGGCAACGCCGCCGCCTCCGGCTAAAAAAGAACGTAAAAGCACACCGGCCAAAGGCCGCGGCCGCCCAAAGAAGGGTTCACAGAACACTACGGACGAAAGCGATTCGCACGACGAAAGCAAAGATGTCACCATGACCGAGAACGAGGCCAAAACCGAAGACGCCAAGAAAGATGCTCAGCCAGTAGAAAATAATACGCACGAGGAGAAAGAAGAATTGGCAAACAACAACGCCGAAGCGTCTTCTAAAGTAAGTAGAGGGAGGAAAGGCGAGAGACGTGGAGTTAATTTTATGAATTTTAGGAAGAAGAGGCCACGGAAAACGGAGCAAAGGAAGATAGTGTGGACGCTTCGAGCTCTGGAGACGATAAAAAGGAGAAGAGTGAGGATACGACGGAAGACGACGCGGCCAGACCCGCGGCGGAGGCGGCGGACAAGCCAGCTGAGTAAAACCAAGTTGAAATTTGTTTCCGTTTCTAATTGCGCTGTAGGTTATTGAACAATTGAATAATTGTAATTTTACCTAATATAAACAAATTATTTTAAAGTTAATTTGTGATTTAATATAATTATTGGTGACTTTTGTAATGAAAGCAGCAAGGTTAAGTTTGTACGGCCCAAACGGTTATCCAATTCTGTTTTCCTTTGTTCAGTTTATTTTTGAGGTGTCGCGATAATCGTTTGCGGCGAGCGTCAACTAACCTACAGTTAATTTTTTAATAAAGAAAAGAAGATAGCATAGGACAGTACATATTCACATATGTACCTGAATCTCCTCGGTCATTGAATGTTTTCTATTGCGTTTCGGTTTCTTCCTTGTTCTTGAGAAAACGTTCGGCAAAAATAAAATTTCATCATAAAAAAAAAATGTTTGTACTTTTATAGTTTTATGTAATAACAATGTACATTTCAATTCCATGCACTCTTAAGTTGAGTTTTAATACAGGTTTGTTTTTCGATCGTACACGTAATGATTAATTCAACTGAGATCCTGCGGGCACAGGACATGTTGTATTTTTCATTTTCTTTGTGTTGTGTCCACAGAAAAGTCGGTTATAAAAATATGTACATATAAGTGTAAAATGTAAATATTAAAATATTTACATAATTTAGAATACTTTTTTCTTTTGCACTTGTATACTTACCAGGGAGGTGGGTATCGATCTGATTGTAGAGTGAAACTTGGCAAAATTGAACGAAATGCAACAAATAAAATTTTTCACATTTCATTTGTATCAAATAACAATATTATTGTACGCAGTACGCAGCAGTGTTGGAAGTTTCTTTCTCAATTAGGTCGTCACACACTTTGTTCCCTTCGTTAGTTAACAAATTTGACAGCTATCTTTTTTCCGTCGTTTCGTTCTGTTTCTTGCAAGTGAGTCAAACTTAGGAGTTTCATTCTAAATTTTGTAAAGATTTCATTTACTAGAATTAGTTCTAACTTTTAGTATGTTTTATATAAAGAAAAAATAGATTTGCATAGGTAAATGTCGAATGTAATAACATAATTTCATATTCAATTTATAAAGTAGTTCTGTGGGTATGTATGACTGATGCTATTTAAATTAATAAATAGGATATATAAGAGTGACGGATTTTTTTGGTCAGGAAAGGCCGTAAAATTAACACAGACGGTCAATCAATGCTGAAATTATTTATTTCCAATGAATATCATCAAATAACATTTTAAATGTCTAAAACATACTTATATAATATGTATATATCGGAAGAAATAACATCAAGATATCACTATGATTACTTATTTTACAAATGTAACCCTTTACAATTACGAAACGAAAACGTCGAAATCAACATACGGTAAATTTCAAGCAGTCGAACATGTATAAACGTTTTCATTTTCTTTGAAGAAAAAAACATTTCGTTGTTTATACACGTTTTCACATTGCTTACAACAAAACAATTATAATCAGTAATGTATATCATTTTCACCGTTAAGGTAACAAAGTTTGGCCACGCATTTATCACAAAACTGTCGATATGTTTGTGGAGGGAAGAGACGCAGGAACTTATTGTCATGTTGACTACGCATGGAACAAATATGTGGTGGTAAGTAACATGGGAAAAAAAAAAAGGAAGAAACGTATCGTTATTGTCGAAAATCGGAAACGTAGGCTTCGAAAAAAAAAGAATCATTTTATGATAAATGCGTTGGAATGTAATCGTAAAGAAATCTTACGCAATCCTTAAATCCAGGCACTGACGTATGTGAAATATTTTAATACAGATTTTAATCAGTCCTGTGTATTTACAAAGGCGTGTCGAACATAACCGAAATGAGAATATCAATAACAAGCTATCAACATTTAAATACGTGCTTTATACATCTTTGGTATGTTTAGAACATTTTGCAACATTTAGTTTTGCTTCATTTTAACGTAAAACTATTTACAACAGGTTAGCCCACTTTAATCAAGTTAATATAATACAGCACTTAATGTATGGATCGCACATCTATTTAAATCTTGTGAAAAGTAAAGAAGCGGCATGAGCCACGAAACAATTTCAGCAGTTCAGTAATACTGATGGTGGCGGTTTATCAAACACATTGTAACTGCAAAACGAGTGGGTTCCGAAAGTACTGGGAGCATTTTTATTACTTTTGATACTAGAGTAAATTGTGCCGTTTATATCACCAATTTAAAATTTGTCTCCATGGTGAAAGTGACTTCCGCTCTTGTGAAGGGGACAAGGGAGGGGCGGCGATTTTTTTTACCCAAGGAAGACCGACCAACAGAAAAATAACGTAACCGGGTTTTTTCAGAAATTGGAAGTCATGATAATCATGGACACATCGTTACATTTTGACAAAGATTCGTCGTCACGTACTACCGAGAAAATTGATGTCGCTACAAAACCCGTTCAAAAATTTTCATCTCATACGTATACAGGGTGTTTAAATCGAAACGCTGAGACAAATTAAAGGCAGATAGATCTTAATTACCTACATCACAACCTAACAGTTTAGTTTTAAGATCGTGTCGTCCACCCTGTATCTTTAGGCAACTTCGTAACAAATCGCAACAAGAATAATGAGAAAAACAATATATATCTAAATTGTATCACCGTTATTTACAATGAGTATTTGCAAAGAAACGCCAGTAGTATTTCTTAAGTCTCACTCTGTTCAATAAGTGTTAAAAGTAGAGTGAAATTCCGGCGATATGTCTTCCGTTCAGTTCAAACGCTTTATTTTAATAAAAGGTTTGTTTTCCAGTTTCAGTACCGTATTTCTTAAGTCTCACTCTGTTCAATAACTGTCAAAAAGGAGAGTGAAATTCCGGCGATATGTCTTCCGTTCAGTTCAAACGCTTTATTTTAATAAAAGGTTTGTTTTTCAGTTTCAGTACCGTATTTCTTAAGTCTCACTCTGTTCAACAACTGTCAAAAAGTAGAGTGAAATTCCGGTGATATGTCTTCCGTTCAGTTCAAACGCTTCATTTTAATAAAAGGGTTGTTTTCCAGTTTCAGTACCGTGATATTTCTTGATATGTTGCATCGTCCCGCGACAAAACGGAAGATAAATTTACACCGGTTCAGACAGACAGACGCTCAACCTCAAAAGTCGAAATTTAATTCAAAACTGTAGGAAAATTTGGACAGTACTCAAAAACCAACGTGTGCTTTGAATTTGTGCATCAAATAAATGAAATCTGCCCACACCACTCGGTTTTAGAATATACGATAAGCTGTTGTTGAAAAACCATAACTATACTACCAATAATTGAAAACTTCAGTCCGATAGTCCATTTTAACTATACGTTATAACAACCATTTTTTCAATAACAGGATAACAAATTCGCGCTTCTTAAAATCTCACTAGTCGTCCCATGTGGGGAAAGCATTGGGATCGCTCACGAAAAGACTAGAACTCGTCGATGTTGGATTCGACCTGTTAATTACCGATCGTGTATTATTTGTTTCTACATTGTACTGCTGCTCGACTTGGTATTGCTGCGTGGGCTGCTGGGCCCAAGACGGCGGTTCCCAGGCCACTTTGGGGTCCCAATCGTACGTGGGTTGCTCTTGGCTAAAATAAAAATCGAAACCGATCGAGCAAATTTTCAATCATTTTCGTCGCCGCCTTACCTGAAAATGCTCGGCTCCGTGTTATTAAACTTGGGCTTTTCATGATCAGTCACGGTCAACTCGATATTTTGATCCCCGTCACCTTCTTCCAGCGTGCTGTTCGTAATCCCGTAATAAAAGTACATGATGAAACCCAGCGTCATCCATATGGTGAACCTCACCAAGGTCAAAATCGACAACTTAAAGATCAAATAAATGTTGACAGTGATGGCCACTGCTGGAACGAAAGGCAAACCCGGCGTCATGAACATCAAAGTGTTTCTAGAATCCAAAACATTAAACAAGCGCGTTCTAGCGTTTCATCAACCGACCTGTTCTGCGGCTTCCTTGATATGGCCAGCAGGACGCCCACAATCGCGAATAAAAACAGGAAACAGAAGAACGTTAACGTTCCGGTCATATTGTGCATGCCACACACTATTATGAGGTCAAAAACTATTATCAACAAGTATAAACAACCGACCATTTTCATTACGAACATGCCGGATTCTTCGGTGGCGGGACCGGTGTCGACCCATGGGAAAATCGCGGGGCATAGGTAGGTGGCCGCCTTCAAAAGGTATTTTTATTGGAGATTGAAAAAGTGCTGGAGAGTACCTGGAGTCTGCGGCCGATGTAGCCTAAACTGGGGCCCACGGTGGAGCCGACGACGCCTCCGGTGCTGGTGGCGCTGCCCGCACCATGCAGGGTCCCTGAAAGCCATATGTGTATATTCGAACCGTTGTGATCGATTTATTTGAGGAGGTAGGACAGTGAGGTACTACGTGGTTTTTGATGTTGATACTAGGGGATTCTGTAGGAGTTGAAATATAAAGATTATTCTCACCATAGAACTTGTTTTCCGTTCTGTCGGAGACCAGGAATTGGTCGTCCCTCATGGAGAAGTCCTCCTCTTGCTCGTCGGCACCGAAAGTGTCATCGCTGTCAGGTGAACTGCAAGAGATTACTATTAGTGCACAAGCTAAGAAAAAATGGAACAAGTAACCTTCTTGTGACCCTCCTCACCATCACTCTCTGCGTGGTTTGGTTGGGTATGGGCGAGGGTGCCGGCGAGGGAATCGGCGGTCCAAGGTTCGCGTCAATCGCTTGCTTCAGGGCGTCCGGATGGAGTTGGTTGCCGTACAACCCTTGTCCGCTAGGATTCTGACTGAGCCCCTCTTTAGTTGGAGATCCCCTCAACGGAGTTCTCAAACTCTGAGGCAACAACTCTACTAAATTCGTAGAGTGGGGTTGATACCTCAGTATTAGGACACACGTCGAGACTAACGTATAAGCTAAAAGGGTACCTATCGACATCATTTCTACGAGGATTTCTAACCTTATAAAAAGAGCAGCAACACCGGCTGCCAAACCACTAATGAACGTCGCTAAAGCCGGGGTTCCCGTGCTCGGCCAGACTTGAGAAAATACTCTGAAAAGTGCGTACAAACGGCTGAGTCGGTGGGATCGGCACGGGAGATACCTACTTGAAAATTAATCCGTCTTGAGCCATTGCGTAAATAATTCGGGGCATGGGGAACATGGAGCCGAACATACTCACTGTGAGACCGGCCAGGGCTCCGACTGCCACGATGTATTTACATTTGTAAGCTTCGACTTGGCCGAACATTTCGACCAAGGCGGAATTCTCGTCGACCTTGTCGTAGGGAACTAGGAAGCACATAAAAGCATTTCGGCGGCAGCAAAAAAATGCCTACCTATTAGCGTTAACATCATGGAACTTGTAACGTAAGCTGTCAGTATAATGCCTAAACTCGTTATAATAGCAAGAGGTATCGACTTTTTCGGATTTGTGGCTTCCTCCCCCGTTGTTGCTATGATATCGAAGCCGATGAAAGCGTAGAAACAAGTCGCAGCTCCAGTAAACACCTCAAATCAAAATACGGTTTCGTCTATCTACACGTTCTGGTGGCGTATTAGAAAACGAGTCCTCGCCGCCACCACAGCGGTGGGAGTATTGACAAGAAGGAAAATCGAAACGTTCGGTTGATCGTATGTGCAACAAATTCTATCACACAGCGCTTCCCGTCTTCCCTCCCTCCGCTGCGAAAGAAGCGGAATATTTACGAGGCGACTTCATTAGTGCAATAATGTAGCAAGCTAAACGCAATAAAAACTTTGCCATTTTTTCCCGCGAAACTTTGATCAGACTCGGTTGTAATTCAAGCCGAAAACTTCCCCAACTTACCCCCGACCATCCTTTTGGCAAAAACCCGTCGTGCTTGGTCCAGTTATCCGTATTAACGTAGAAAAGGCCGGCGGTCATGACGAACACCCAAACTGCTAAATTGATGGCATTGAGGACGTTGTTGAATATGAGCGATTTTTTCACCCCGGCTGCCAAAAGGAGCATCATCAAGAGGGTTATGACGAACGCCAGGAAATCCGGCGCTCGGCCTGGAAGTAAACACGACGACAAATTAGTTTTTCGCAGGGAATTCTTGGCGGGTGAGTAATGAATACTTTTTTATTTAACACGATGGGCTTTTCGTGAGAAGATTTTTTTTTGCTGCGAATGATTTTTAATCGAAGCTGGTGGTTTGGGGAGTTTTCTTTTTCCGGTGTATAATACATAAAATGGATTTGGGAATAATTGCTTGGTTACCAAGTGGCGCATATGGGAGGGGATCGTTAGAAATATATGATCAAGGGATACGCCGCACACATTTGGAAGGTGGAGTTCGTCCAATGGTCAGTGACCCATGTACATGGATTTCGATCTTTACGTGCATACATGTCTTCGTAAATTTTTTATGGTTCGTATATTTCGTGTTATTCCTCAACGAGAAAGGAACCTCAAAAAATGTACATTGGTATACTTCGTTCTCCTATACACTGTGCCTGGTTTTCTGCTTGCACCCAGAGAATTGTATTTTTCTACACACACTGCAAATCATCAACTATGTATAACGGACTTATGTATAAAAAGAAATTAACATTAACAGCAGTTTCATCAAAAATAAGAAAATAACAACTATGGACTTATTTTTAAATTTAATTAATTAATAAATCTTTGCTATCGACTGGTGGACGAAATGATTGCCTTCTGTTTTATCAACTTTTAAAACTAATATTGTGGCCAAAAAATACGTACCGCTTTTTGTAAAGTTCTCCGCAGAAGTCGATATTAATAATAAATTGCAAGGTTGTCTGTTTTAAATTCGTTAAATATTTACTGCGGCAAGACGAACCGATTCAACCGACAAATAAAAGATTCATGAGGCTTACAAACGCCTGGCTTCATATTCCACCCCAGAGCAAATGAAAAGGTTTTGTTATTGTTGGGAAAACACGTTAATTCCAAGTACAGAAGTGGGTACGTACAAAGAGCAAATTAAAAATTTCGGTGCGTAAGTACGAAAGTGCAAAAAAGCAAACGAACAAGACAGTGAATGTAACATTTAGACGATGAGTGATACAAAATCGAATCCTTATCCCTATTATCTTGCAATTACGAAATATAATAGCTTCCCACCAAACGCATTTTTGTTCAGATTTACAAACTCATCACAAAAACATTAAACCAATTACGAGTCTCGATCACCATTATTGACATAAATCACATTTCGACCACCAACTGCAACCGCGTATCGTCCCCTTGATGGCCATCCAGCATCGAATCGATCCGCAGCGTCGAATTGTGCACCGGCACAATTAGCACAATTCCTCGACGATATTTCATACAATTTCACTTACCGAATATATTGCCGACGATGCTCGTCTCAACAGCCTCCTTAATTGCTCCATTTGCCAATGCATTAAAACAGGCACTAAGCGCGCAAGCACATGCTGACGTTCCGATCAAATATTCTAGAATCATGTTCCAGCCAATCACGAAAGCGATGAATTCGCCCACGGTCACGTACGAGTACATGTATGCCGAGCCTGTCGTGTGTGGCACCCTTACGCCGAACTCGGCGTAACATGCTCCTGAAAACAGAGATGGAGAGTGAGAGAGGAGAAGCGGTCTCGTAGATGTTAAGGGAAAATTATGTCAATAATGACTAATTTGTAATCAAACGAGGGTTGGTGGTAAACAACCTTTTTGCAAATGTGGAGGAAGTGTGTACACGTGTGGTTCTAATTACATTAATGTCGCAATTAACGTTTGGTAAGTGGATGCGCGAAGGGGAGGGGGACAAAGCTGACATGGAGTCGCGTTTGTGGTCATTTTAATATCATTTGCCACAAGTTCGTTTGAACACACGAAGAGATAGAGCCGACGGCACACCACATCAGTGCTGTAGTTATATTAGGTTAATTAACCACACTGTCCGTAGTTACAGAAAACACGGTGGACGATTCACTTTATATCTCGATGAAACGGTGAATCATATAATCCTTTCTAGTTGAATTTTAAAACGGCGCGAGTATAATGCCACAATTTTATTTGTGGTCTTAATTCTTCAACTCCTTAATTTCTTAATTACTTAAAAGGAAAATTGTAACCGGCCACTTTGAACTCGAGTGTTTCCGATTATGTCGTTCATATTATGTTCTTTGTGCTAATGATATAGCTCATGGCACTGCAGAACTGAGTGTCGTCGGGAGGTTCGCTTTTCCTTTTGCCCGTTTTAACTCCACGGACGAAAACTGAAAACCGAAAACCGAGTTGTCTTTTCAGTAAACGCGACGATCTCGGCTGAAAAATAAGCTGCATTTGACGCAGTAAATTGCTCTATTAATTGAATTGATTCCCCAGTCTCGCTTCTCTCAAAACTAAATCACGACCCTTTCGTTATCGACGAGATTCGCTCCTTTCTTTATCGTTGTCTTATTCTCGCTGTGCTATTAAATCTTGCCATTAATTTTTATATCTTACGAGTTTCTTGGTATTTGTTCTTGTTTATTGACGCACTAAAGGGGAAAATGGCGCCACAAACAAAATTTAAGATATGATGTGAAAAACGCCAAACGTAATGGAAACGTCGGAATGTTTTATTTGCATTAAAATCGTTTCGTGGCGGTCGGGAGTTTGTTGTTTTAAGTAACTGGGATAAATAACAAAACGAAATTTCGCTCTTCGCACGAGGATCGACATTTTAAATTCAATTTTGGTCGGTAAAGCTCATTTTTGAATTCTAACTTCCGAGCACGGTCTTGATACATAACTACACCCATATGTGGTGTTTAGTTTTCATGCAGACGCCTGTCGTTCACAACATATCGTATTTTCGTTCCGATCCCTGAAACGAGAAACGTCTCCACTAACAAACCGTCCATATAAGCACTCGAATTGCCCGATAAAGTACTTTTCGATTCCCGTTATCGCCTTAACAGGACCCGAATAAGCAGGTAACTGTTCGCCGATCCCATCCCCGACCGTCGCGTCGCAGCAGCGAATCGTCCCCGTATCGCCAAACAACCAATCTCTCAAATTGAAAGCGGACGCCCTTTTCGTGGCGGCCCTTTGAGGTGAGTGAACACCAAAACTCGCCTTTAGTAACTCTGTAAGTAGTTTCCTAAAGTTATCCCTCGGGAGATCCGCGAAAGTTACCGTGTTTGTACAACATACATCCACGCCCAAAGCGCCCCATTGTTTAACCAGATGGGTCTTGCATAGGTGATGAATTCAAAACAAGCTTCCAAATTCCGATACCTAAATTAATGTTTGCGCCGAAACGAATCTTCGGCTGTCGATAAAAGTGACGAGCGAAGGTTTTAACCGGATTCCTTTAAAACTGTCAGGAGCTTGTATTCCCGCAGGAATGTTCCGCATATTTGCGGTGACGGCGCAATCATGTTCCGATAAATGGGGCCGTGTTATGGATTAAACGTGTTCGCGGCGCAGAACATGGGAGGCGAACGGTGGAGGACACGTGTCGCTGAACGAAAATAATGCCGGGGATTACCTGAAAATATGCTAGCTACTGCGGCGATGACGAAACTGATGACTACACCGGGGCCGGCGTAGTGCTTGGCCACCATTCCTGCCACGAGGTACATTCCCGTACCCACGCAGCTTCCGACTCCCAGGGACGTCAGGTCCAGCGTCGTCAGGCATTTCTGGAACGTTTCAGTGTTTTAACCGACATAATAATGGCTTATTCACAAACAACTCATACGAATTATATTTCAAGTTGTTTATGTGGTGCTATAATTGATATTTTATACACGGTGCGATATGAAGTGCGTTTGAGCTGATTTTCGCAACTCCGCTCCGTTTCAACTGAAATGACGGCATCAATTTTTCCGAGGGAATGAACAGACATTTTTTTTTTTTTCGTTTCAGAATAATCTAAGATACACTTGATATTTGAAGTTGTCGGTTCAATCGGTTCGGAGATTACTTATTTTGTTGAGAAAAATGTCAGCTTTGGAGAAGTGCTTAATTTGGTCCTTTGATTCTCACAAATTTATCAAAGAAATATTTGTCAGAGTTAAAATGATAGTGTGCATACATATGTCTCTCGGAAACCCAGCCCTTCCACGCCCTGCGGCCCTACTGTATCATCACAAAATAAATGAAACCTTATAAATAATCTCTACAATAGAAATCCCCGAAGAATTTACAGTATAAGCCACAAAACCTCTGACGTAATAACGATCTGCCCGCTCGAGGCAACGTGTGTCCGTTCCTTGGTTTCGCCGTAAAATTTTATAATTTTTCTGGGTTATTGTCCTCCCTTTTCGTAATCTCATCTAGCCGTAATTCAAAGCTCGAATTTGAAATAAGCTAATTAAAATCACAATTTACCAGATGGCTTTAAGCTGTCCGCACCAGTGACGGTCCGTAATAAGCAATTTGCGTGCCGCCGGCGTCGTTTGCATGTATTAGGTAATTATGGAAAGCTGTGGACGTGTGCCTTTATTAATACAAGCTCAGATATCACCTGATAATCCAGCTTTTTTTTCCATCCAAAAAAACTATAAAAATCCGACTTTACGACTGCAACTTTCAATTCTTATTCCGTTGACACGAAGATCTTTTATTACCGACCTCCCTTTTCGCCATACATTTTTAACCTGATGAAATTTTTAAGCTCTTGTGTCATTTCGTGCACCGAAGCAACACTTACAGTTACAATAAAATCTGCTTTTGCTACTATATCATTCTGCTTTACGCACTCGTTACATAATAATAACGGACAAGGAACACCGTCGCCGTGATGGCACGAGATGAAATTGTTTTCGCAAAAATCTCGCAGTTTAATTAATTTTGCTTCAGCTTCATATCCTATGCTGTTTTCGTTCTGGGGGACACGAAGCTCGCTCGTGTTTGACAAACGTTGAATATTAATTAGCCATCGATTTAAGTGCTTCGCAAAAATTTATTTTAACGTTACACACCGGGAATTTGGCATACGCGTCAAGAGCAAAAAGTGCTTCGGTTTTTAAACATGTGGGACCTGTTGCCTCTTTTCAGAAATAAACCGCAATTTTAACCACGAATGTTATGCAAACAGGAATCAATTCGTCGATTTTGTACCATTTTATCGGTATAAATTTTGGGTTTGTTATTTACGAAGCTGCAATTAGCTTTTTTGGAGATATAAAAATTAATACGGAAATAAAAAGCTGGGACACCCTGCAAGCTGGTATGAAAATTTTCGGCGTAAAAAACTGCATCCCTTCGTGGCCGCAAACTCGTATTTTCCTGACCGCACTTCAATAACAGCCTCTAAGTCCATAAATCTTCCCTCTCCGTTTAAGTGAAACAGAACCGTTTATCATCTCCAGCCCCTCTGAATATGAAACAGTGTTACCCTAGTATTTGTCTCGGTTTAAAACGGAATCAAAGGCTGGAACTAAGCAAATATTCAAAGTGTGTAAATGAGTTCCACCGTCCTACTCCCTCGAGAAATATTATTGCCGTTAGGGTCGCATCAGTTATCGTAACCGAACAAATCTGACCAAAATTCAACCTACCGTGAGCTTTTGTTTGCGATCGTCCGTTCTTGCCGATTTGCTTTGTTCCTGCAGGCTCTCGACATTCTTCGTCCGTATCAACTTGCTGAAGAGAACCAGACCATCTCTCCGGAGCGTTTCGCGATCACCGAGCCAAGCACCCACCTTCATTCTGTAAAAAAAATCTACTCATCGTCTCTGAGAACATGTCGGTTTTGATTTCGTTTGATGTCGAAATCCCACAACAACGCAGCTTTGACGTGCAGTATTTGAAAAGTTGTTCCACAATCCGACAGGGAAGGACAAAAAGAGCTGTGAGGCATTTCCGAAGTCGTAATTACAATATTCGCGTAAAAGACAAGGTTCAATGGTCACAAATAATTCACCGATTCACCCCTAATTAACATTCTTCATTCCGGAACGTTTGTTCCAACCGCGCCGACGGAAATAATTATAAGGATCGTGATAATTCTGCTGCTGCTGAATAATTGAAACACAACTCTAGGAAGTTAATCAGGATGTAACTTAAAGGCGATAGTTACGCAAGTTTCGTTTTCGTCTTTTTGTCGGTAATTACAACAGCACTAAAGCTAACCCGTTTCTTCGCAGCCCTTCACGTAATAATGTATAAAATTGAAATTTTCCCCGCGGGCTCGCCTTTAATAAAATATCGCATGTGGAATAAATGAAACTTTGTTCCAGTTTCTACGCCAGCTGTTTGCGTCACCTCCGCAAAGCCTCAAAACCGGCCACAATTAAATTTCGGTGGTAGCAAGCTATTTTACCACCCACGACCCATAGAAAACATTTATTGGCGGTTTCCAATTCAAGAATGTCCCAGATATTTATTATTATTATTAATATTATTATTAGTGACATAATGTCCAACGAGCAAAGGCCCAATTACAGGTCACGAATTATTGTGAAAAATTAGTTTACAGAATGACGATGGAAGCACCTTCTAATCTCAAGCACTGAAGTACCTACTGAATATGTCTACATGCTCGTCAGATGGGAAAAATTCTGAAGCATTCGAAAAAGTGGCGAACCCAATGCAAGTCAGCACGTGGAGCTGCAAAGTAAAATGTATTTTTGTAACGAGCACTAATCCTATTAAAAATAATCTCCGGGCAATCTTGTAGGCCATTAAGAACTTTAAATAAGAAGATAACCGAATGTCCAATGCTTCTATAGACAACAACCAAGACAGATTCAGCCTGTCAAGAAGCAGGTCTTGGAGCCTATTACGAGATATACTTCATCGACTATGAATGCTACTGATTTAAGAAATCTACGTTGAATGCGCTCTAATGCAGAAATATACCCATTGTACAAAGACGACCAGACTACTGAGGCATATTCAAGGTGGGATCTAACAAAAGCACGATAGAGATGTCTTAACGTTTCAGCAGCATCAAATTCACGACCATTACGTAAAACAAAACCCAGTGCTTTAAAAGTAGCCTGTGCTATGGTTTCGATGTGTGCATTGAACAAAAATGCTACAGAATACTCCAAAGTTATATTAACGTTAAAGTAAAGATGATAGTCGTGACGACGTTGACACGACTCGTTTTTTTACTTTAAATTTTTGGGACTTTTGGTAGCATTTGAAGCAAAAATGGCTTTGTTACTATCGAAAAATAGACTTTAAAAGTTATTTTAGTAATAATGTTATTTGCAATATATCGATATATCGACAAAAATATCGTTTCTTATGTTGAATTGTTATACATACCACAACTATACTGACCTAAACAAGGTTTTAAAAACAAATTGAAGTTTTTTTTTGCGTTAGATATAAAATTGTTGGTGTGAGATTATGTATAAATTTCTACAAAAGAATCTCCTAATATGTAATATTTTCAGAGTGCGTGTGGTATATGGAGATATCATAACATTTATCAGAAAACTTGTGAAACCATTTTGCCATTATGAAGTTTAACACATCGTTCTCCAAATCGGACTTGTTCATTCGAGAAAAGAAACAGCGATGGCATATATTGTTTGAACTATCAGGAAAAGAGAGAGAAAACAAAAGGGTAAAGTATGTATACTCGGGTCAAAAGTTACCATGAAGTCTCGATTACTACTTAATTACGCAGCTGTTGCGTAAACACGTAAATCATGAAAACGTAGCCAGTGTGTTTCCAGAAAAGTGATGGATACGTTGTTACTGTTGCCCATTTTGGTATAATATACCTAGTAGAAAAGTTGCTATTCCGTATCTGTGCTATGTAGCGATGTGCTATAAAGTTCCATCAGTAGTGGCTGTTACGTATCTGGGACTAAAAATGTTAGTTGGGATTGTTCATCTCATAAACATGCAATAATAGAAATCAATTTCAAAATACCCTGGCAAAATATCAAATTAAGTGACAGCGTTTCACCACACAACCTCACAGCACGACGACACAAAACAAAACAAAATAGATATTTGATTATCTTGTAGCTAAAATTTTATCTTTGTTTGATTATCTGTCCCCACATAGTTATTCCAATGAAAAGCGCTTATCGACATGTCATAAGCAAAGAAGGGCAGTGAACTCGGCCAAACGAAACCACACTTATTAATTTTTTCATCCGCGTTGTTTTTCGTATCTATTGATTTTGTATTCCAGTATGGCGCATCGGGTGGTTCAAATATTTACCAAAGCGCTTTTGTAATGGTCGCGTATTTCATTTTTGGCTCTAAATTATTGAAAGACTAGCTGGTAAATACAATTTTTCATCATTATCGTATTCGAGCACGTGTCGACATTCATTACTCTTCGTGCTTATTTTGCAGATATCCCGATGTAAAATGGTAACGGTATAAAGGGATTGTCACCCACGCCATGTCACGTTTAATTTTTAAATAGTGTGTGCGTACAAAATTCATTAGCGTTGATTCGTTTTAATTTTATCGCTGCGTCGAGACGGCAAAACGTGCAGCGGAAGAAATTTTAAGCGGCTGGGGATGCGTAAACGTTAGAAATGGTGCTCGAGTCTTTCTTCAGGGAGAAAATATTACGGCTTTAACGAAATAACTACGTTTTTAATGGAGCATTTAAACATCTAATGCAATTTTAGGAGCGGTTATTGGCTACGCAACTGTCGCCGGTCTTGTGTAACAACATGTAGCTTTTTTTAAAACATTTCGATACCCTAGACTTTTTTTCTTTTGAAAATATTGTAATTTAAACTTCTTTACGATGAAATCAGATCATTGATGGATCACTGAATTTTTGTGTTCGGTTTATTTTCCTTCGCTTACCACACTATAATTATTTTCATCCAACGAAAAATTCACAGCAAGCGTCGTAACCCAATTATTTCTGAACTTTATTCGAAATGCCTGAGATTCCTGAAGGACTCAGTCGTTTTTCTCTCAGGATACCATCGTTTTCAGTAATGATCGCAGCTTTGGCCTCAGTGTCGCTATACACCATACATTTTGTGAAGTAACTGCATTTTTTCAATATGAAAAGTCAAATGCTTTACATTCGGATTCTAGTAAGTGCCTCCTAAACATTTTGTAATAATTTGTTGACTTGAATTTTTTGCACTTTTATGAAATAAATTTTATTAGTTGTGCGGGTTTTAATTTATTCCAAGTTAATCAACCTCATTTTCTTTCCGAAGACTCGGCGCCCCTCTGATTGAAATACAGCCGTCTGAACCGTACATAACGACTTATTTAGTCCAATTTAATTAAGGAAGGCGATTCGGGCATCCCGACGCCTCATACCGCTCTAAATGAATTCACTTTGATTCCCGCGTCGCCGGCTCCCAGAAAAAGCGAAAATTGAGCCCCTCAGATATTCCAATATCGGTAATTCATCCAACACAATGAAGAACGAGGTTGGTGTTTAATATTCCATTTCTGCTCCAGCAATTTCAATTTTATCCATAACGCAGCTGGTGAACCGTGAAGGTTAGCTCATGTGGGCGACCGAAAATCTGCAAAAGTGTTCGAATTGGCGCAGAGGTTAGCCGCGCAGACCTCAATAAAACAAGAATTTAATTTGCACACCACCCGCACCCCGCCCCTGAATGAATTACACGGGCGCCGAAAGCTAAAACTGGGCTCTTTTCGCCTTTATTTAGTAATTTCGGATGTAATTTAAATTAATGAAAACGCGGCGGGATATAGGCTGATCTGCGGTTAGTGTATTACACGTTATGAAATGACACATTTTTTATGTTTTTTTTTTTTCGTTTCGGAGCGATGATTGGAGAAAATTGCTTCTGGGGAGCTTATGAAGCTCTTTAGTAGCGGCAAATATGGTGGCGCACGTGGAGGTTTTAGATGAAAACGTGTAAAAGTTAATGGGATTGTTAAACAGATGTAAAAAGAGAAGCAAAGTCTGTTCGTGTGGGATTACGAGTTTTACACAAAATGTTTAAAAAGAAAAGTGCGGTAACAAAGTACAAACTCGTATAAATCCCACCACAAAGTTAGGAGTTTGGCTTCCATTATTATTAACAGCTTTGTTTATACTATAAAATTGGATGTTATTAATGAACGAAATGTGAAGTTTTGATCCATAAAATGTGGAAACTTTAAACTTTCGTGAATATTTAACTATATTTCGAAACCAATAAATTTATTAGTGCGTAATATACCCTGATTATTTATTAACAAAAGATTAGAATGCATTCGATAGTTTTTTGAGTTTGGCAACAACGTATATCGTATTTTGTGTTGTGAGTGTTTGAAAAAGGTCTAGGATTTCAAAATTTTCCAATCCGGTTTGCTGCCATAAAAGGGATGTTAAAAGTTTATGGAACTCATTTACTACGACATTATTAAATTATTCAAGTTTCCAGTCATTTACAAAGTTCTATACACCATAGCCATTACCTTCTCATTTTTAAATAATTTATCCATATTATTGTATTCCCAAACTTTCGACTCGAAAATAAATATTCTAAACTTTGACGACAACGAAAAATTCCCAGAACGTTGTCTTCTAAAGCTCTGGAAATTTGAGATTTCGGTAAATATAAAACGCACAAGGTTTTTGGAATAAAGAAGAATGGAAATTCGCTACAAACACTTTTAAAATGAGCAGGAGTTGAATTTTCACAACTTAAAAAATTTCATAATATTAATTTTTAATATTTTGCAGAAACTCTACATTCAAAGAAAATGCTTAAATGTTTAATTAATTCCGAAAAATCCAGCTC